TCGCTTAGGGAAGGCGGCCGAGGGCCACAAAGAGCAGACGCAGTATAGCTTGGAGCACTTGTAGAGGCACAAAAGTGGTGAGAAGATGTGAAATCATCGCATGGCACGCAAACACGGAAAAAAGCACTGACGGTGCGTAAGCACTAGGTTGGTAGGCGGAATGCAATCAATGGGGCGAAAATTAAACAAAAAGATTCATAGGCAAGTCTTGCAACAAAGATGCCACTACTGTCAGCACGAGCAAGCACTAACAGTACAAACTCGACTAAGAATCCTACGTGCAGCTTGTGATGATTCTCTGAATACTGCCTTCAAGTGTAGGATGTCGCTGTTAGCCCGAAATTTGCAATGCTTAGCCCGAGAACGCCTACACCAAAGTACAGCACCCCCAAAGAACTACAGTTGCGTACTGTCTTACGCTGCAATGGCTTCCCGGCGGCTTGAGGATTGTATGTTGAGTCCCGCAAATGCAACAATTGAGAGCAGCAGCAGCAGGGGGGCCCCCATGAGTCGCAGAACTTGATGAGGAATAGACCCCAGGCTCGGCTCTTCAGAACCATACACCACCACAGATAGAATGCACATCGCCACGAGCCATATATTCGTCGGGCGCGACAACAGGCGCCAGCAAGAGCAGAAAAAGTGAGAAAGACTCTGCAGAAGCAGTAACCGCAGCAATAGTAGCCAATCTCGCCTCAGTGGCACCGGCCCCTAGCAGCAGATGCAGCGTTAGCCGCAGCACCGACATCAGCAGCAGACATGGAACGAGCAAAAGGGGCAGGCACGAAAGGAGAAACGGGGGCAGCATTACATGCGACTAACACTGGCAGCAAGACCTGTGGCTTTCTCATCTGTCACCTCTGTGCTTTCGTGTTTGCTAATCTAAAAGTTCTGTATGCTGGTGCCTGTAGCGCTCACGAACTGCATGCGTCCCCGCGCAGCTGGCGTGGGTGGGCACGTCTCCTCCTCGTTGACAGGGTTGATGACTACCTGCCTCGCGGCCCAATAAGGCATCAGAAGCCGAGTGCCTCTAGAGAGCCTCTCCTTTTTTGCATTTAGCAGTGTGCGCTGAGTTCCCAGCAGGGGCGCGCTAGGAAGTGCAGAGGAACCCCACAGGCCGCCTCCCGACGAGAACAGACGAGACGTCTTGCTACCGCTACTTCTGCGACTCCCACTGCTGCTGCTGTGGCTGCTACTCATTTCGCGGGCCACTCCCGAAGCTGCCCCTCCAGCCTCTACAGAAGCGGGGACGGGGTCCCCACTGGGCCCCGTGGTGGTCTGCCTCTCTGAATGCATCTTCGCTGCCACAAGGGAGGCTGCCTTATCACTTGTACAAGGGTGCACTTAGAGGCTGAGACAGTTAATGAGGTCATTTCTTAGTGCCGTGGCGCGAGCAGTGAGTGGGACAGCTAGCCAGCTAGCCACGTCGCCAGGTAGCTGCCTCGGGTCCCAGGAATCCTTCGGAGCTAATGGCGACAGAGGCGCAGCTTGTGGACTGCGCCAGTCGTCTTGGACAGAAAGGCTTCTAAAGAGTCACCTCCACGAGTGGAAGCCACAGGGCCTCCAGTCGTCCGCAAGGGTGACCCTGTCGGGGGGGTGGCTCCAGGCTCCACGGTGTTCGATGTAAGTAGCTACGCGGGAGACTTGAGGCCTTTTGGCTGACCGGAGTATGCTAAACTCCCCACGTTTTTGATTATTTTGCGGTTAAGGAATAAACAGAAGCGGTTAGGGTGTGTCTCTTGAGTGCGAGAGCCGAAGGGGAAACAGCAGCCGCTGCTGCGAATGGGATGTGCGCCGCTCGCAGGGGCCACCGCCAGTGACGCTGGCGTTAGGATGAAGCAGAAAGACTATATAAAACGTCAACTGGAGGGCAGCCAGTAGAGGCCTCGGCATGCACGCGAGGTTCCTGAACCTGTTGTCTGCCACGGGAGGCAGACAGGCGGGAGATGCAGCAGGTGAGGTGAGACGGCAGCTTTGAGCTGACAGAATAATTACGAACAAGTAGAGTCATGTAGAAATAGAGAAAGAGCAGAGAAGGCGGCGGATGCCCCGTTGACTTGGGCAGACAGAGATCTAGAGGCAACAGTGGCGGCCACCTGAGCGCGTGGAGATGTAGGAAGACACTAACTTCATGCTCAATGGCATGTGTATAGAATTTGAGATATCATGCGAAAGTAACACAATGAGGGTTGCATGCCAATAGCCCGTGCAGTCATGCAGCGCACACACTAGGGCGTGCAGCGCTGCTGCGCTGACCCACGGGGGTGGCGGTTGCTCGGTTCTTCCAAACGCTTGCAACCCAACCCGTGGTCTGGTCAATACCTCTTCATTCCCAGGAATTCAGCATTATTTAGGCGTATTTATGAATTGAAATCGACTAACCTCAGTAGTAGAGCCAGCTCTCACGGCTAGTTTGGCTCCGGCGCGCTCCAGTGTGTGGGGCGTCTGTTCTGGGAGGCGCTCAGCCTAAAGGAGAACGGATTGGTTCACAGCGTCCTCAGTTACTCCTTGTTTTTAAGCTCTCAAATCTTAGATATTTAAAATTAATTCACATCAAGTAGTTCAAAGAGCTACGGAGCCTGCCCAAAAGAGCGGGGGCAGCAGCGGCAGTGCGCTGGTCTCTATTGCTGGTCCTTCCTCGGGCGCGCTCGGTCTGGGGGGTCTACAGAAAAAGGCAAACTCACCATACAACCCCTGATGGCTCTTCGAAACTAAGTATGATTTTGAAAATTTAAACATATTTCTACGATTAATCCTCAACAACGCTGAGGGAAAACCCTGCCCGACCACCTCATGTGGCTAACCCGCTTGGGCACGTACGTACCCATGCACTTTAGCCAAAACCCGCCGCCTTTTACATTGGTTGGTCCATTTATCAGCTAAACCTCTGCTACGAATTCAATTGATTATTGATCCATCCCTTATGGGTTACCCAGGACAGTCTCAAGTGCATTAGAAAGGACACTATTGGCCGCACAGCGAACAGTGTGCACTGCACCTGGGGGCCATAGATGACTGCATGGAGGGTCCTCCTAGGTATCTCTTTCTGGTTTCTGGCTCGAATACAATGCATGTCAGTTTTAGCTTACTGTTTTATGCCTGTGTTGTGCCAACTAAATTATTCAGAGCAGCAGGGCGGCTGTGAGCCATCGCTCGCTTTCATGGCTCGGTGCTCCACGAGCAACAGTGTTTTATTCCTCTATACCCTCGGCTTGAAGTGTGCATTTATTCGTGTGTTAATTCCGTTCTATGTCTGTGGTTCGGAGTTTTAAGTGACAGGTAAGCAGAGCTCCAGACACCACTAAATGTACTAATGTGTAGCGGGGGTACCGCTGAGGGAAGTCTGGCCGCCCCGAATGATGCAGAATGGGGGGAAGGCTTGGGAAGAAAACCGCGCGGATGTGCATCACTTGCATTAGTACACTCCAGCAGAAGTACCACGTGCGTACTGAGATCATGAGGCAGGGGTCGCGACCGCGGTCGCTAACCTTGCTGAACTGGCAACACTTCCTATGTTCCTATCAGGCTTGTTCATCCAAAGTTGCAGTCAAAATGCCTGGTCGGCCCCAACCCACGAACATTACTCATTTAATATTCTTTAAGGAATGCTCATTGAGAACTCCTAAAGGAATGCTTCTGCGGCATCACAATTACTTATACGTTCAAAACTTGTGTCCATTACAACAAAACAATAAACTTTGCTTCCAAAGAGTTGTACTTCTCCTAGGTATTCACATATAGGCATATGCTTCATTCTCTGCCATGTTGCACTGAGTAGTTTCGGAGCGAAACTACTGTGCTGATGCACACCCAGAGCAGGCCCATAAGGCGTCTGGGTTGTGGTACGTTGCCGCAGAATGGCTTTCTCCCGTCACTCTAGTTTAGGGCGGCAAAGAAGATTTCTTGAGGTGCTTTGGGGCCAGGCAGCTTGCCTGTTTCACATACAATGCTTGCTTTTAGCGTGAGGAGCCCTTCACCCACCCTATTAGTAGTACTAGGCATTATCCTCATTCCATGAAAATAAGGCAATCTAACTCTTGTGCTCAGGGGTTGTTCCACACCTTGTTTCAAAGAAGGCAGAAGCGCACGCCGAGTGGCAGATCCCCCTGCCTAGCCCTTGACAATAAGCGTTGGACATTAGATACAAAAATGGAAGCTCACAAACTTAATCCTGTCTTTCGCGCGCCCTTGCGTTGGCCCGTTTGTTGCTCAATCTGCAATCAAACGCGTTTGCCCTCTGCATCTCCAACAAAGCTAACAGACGAGAAATGCATCCGAAGTTGACAGAAGCACGCAAAGTTGTGAGAAAAATACTGAAGACTTAAAAAGGAAGCTAAGACGCTGAAGAAGGAGCTGTTCGTGTGACAAAGATATGGGTGTACGCTGGCCCGTTAACGCCACAGATAAGACGGTCAGGGGCAGGGCGACAGAGGACAACAGGAAAACAAATGGAGAACGACGGGAGAAAGCTACACAAAGTGACGGAGTAACGAGATAGGACAATCGATAGTGAGGCCATATTAATGGGAACATCCAAGTGCTTAACTACTTGCATCTGTCCTTCAGCCCATCTAGCGCTTTCCAGGCTCTTGGCAGAGACAGTAGCAGTAACATACCGTGCGGGTGATATGGCGGCAGAATTTTGCATGAAGCAGCTCATTTTACATGAGATGCCACTGAGCGTGCGCATGAAGCAGTGCATTCGGTAGCAACAGCCAACGAGCTGTCGAACCAGCCCTTCGATGCCTAGCTAGAAGTGGTGGGTGCACCACTACTGTAGCTTCTGCGTTCTATGTACACTCCAACTGCCTCCTGCTCCATGTAGGGCGGTGCTCTTCGTTCTGTCCTCATCTGAAGCTAGTTTAGTGCTGCTTGGGGCTGAGCAGCAGTGGCAGCCAATTGCACTCAAGACTCAACTTTGAAGAGAGGAAACAAACGTAGGAAAAAGATTGGCTCAAAGACAAGGCAGCGGAAGCCACGAGCATTGTTTCGCTGCCTCCTTATGCTTCCCTGCCATTCTCCCTACGAGGACTTTTAGCAGCTACCGGCACTGCTTTTTGTGGAGCAACAGCGGCGCTAACAGTTTTCGCCCTTGCTGTGGAAGAAATGGCAGTTTCTGTTATCTCGGTTGCTGATCGCTGTATCTTCCGTTTGTTTTTATGCCGCTTAGTCATGCCCTCTGCGTTAGCCGCTTCTACTCCTGCGTCTGCCGTTTCAGACTCTGCCGCTGTTGCATCTCCCGTTATTTTTGCTCCTGCTGCTTCTGCTTCTGTGGATAAAACAAGGGGGCCAGAACCCCGGGCCAACAACGAGCCACGGATTGCGACGCGATCACCGCTTTGGGACGTGGGAACCCTGCAGCAGGCAAAGCCACAGAAGGTGCAGCAGACGTAGTCGCAGCAATTACAGTAAGTACATGACAATAATTTCAGCAACTGCTACACGCATCAGAAGTTTTAGCGATGCCGCTGCTGCTATGTGGAGCACAGAACGCTGCAGCAGAGCTTGCAGTAGGAAAAGAACATCTGGGTGGCAGTCATAGTACTGCAGAAACCACTACAAAAGCAGCGGCAGTATGTGCTGTTGCTGTTTCCGCTGCATGCAAACTGTGCAGCTCACTCAATGACGTGCATGCGGACAAAGGCCTTCTCTCCGATTCGGCGCGTCTTATCCTTGCGGTGTACGTACACCTTGGCTTCCTGCACCACCGACAAGAGCATCAAAAGCCGCGATGAATAATTCTAGCATTAGCATCAGCATCTGGATCGGCACCATGTAAAGTCGTCTCTGCCCGATCTCGCCAACGTCGCAGTCAAAGCCATCCCTCCAGCAGCACGAGACAGCGACTACTTTCCCTACGGCTGCGGCTTGAGCCACGCTGCAGCAGCACCCGCTGTTGCTGACTGTACGCCTGCAAACATGCATATTTTCACTAAATCGCGCATAAGCCTCACTTCTAGGTATCTAAATCTGTCTCCAAGGTGGTCCCTACTGATGATGGCGGTGAAGTGGCCGAGCCATAGCAGCCGCAGCACCGCAGGCCGCACAGTTTGCGTTTCACACGCTGTGGGACAAAACACAGAGAAAAAGGAAAAGGCAGCCCAAACTGTTGCTGCTGCTGTGGCAGCTGTCTGCTGCTTGTGCAGCTCCTGCCCTTACGTCCGCTGCCACTCTTCTTCGCCTTGCTGGCATGAAGTGCGGTCTGCCGTGCACCTGCTGTTAGCATGTATGTAGACCTGGCCCAGAACTACTCACTTATCAGATCCCCCACTTTTGGTCTAAAGACAAGAGCGGTTGTCTCCACAGAGACAAATATCGTGCCATCATTGCTCTCTATGTCAGGCAGCAGAAAGCCAAGCGCCCCGATGCTGCTGCTGCTGTTTCGTTTGCTGGTGCGCATGCCGCTGGTGCTGCTGTTGCTGCTTTTGCTGACCGTTGCTGGGCGGGTCTCTGAGAAGGCCAGCCACACCCCATCCAGCTCAGTGACGAATCTGTAGCACTCGACCGCAATCAACATGCATGCAGCAGCAACCATCAGTTGCGGCGGCAGCAGACACAGATCACGATGAGCAGAACTGGCATGAACAGCAAAGCATGGTGCACTGTAAGGTGCATCCTCTCGAGCAGTGGCTCACTTGAAAAGGAAGCCCATGACGTGTCTGTACACCGCCAGCCGGGGGACCTGCCAAAAGCAAGGCGGCAATATTGCAGTACCCCTGCAATAGCAACAACAAACGCAGCGGCAGCGGCAATTAATAAAGGGGTGGCAAAGACAACAGCATTAGTGCAACGGGACTTGTTGCTGCATCATGCATTGCTGCTGTTGAAAACTCAGACCCAAGTGCCTACTCATTAGGGCCCCGTGTACAAACAGTGAACTTGTGGCGGCTCAGTTTGTAATGCATGCCTCAGTTGTCCGAAATTATAGACCATTTAGTCACTGTTTAGGCCTTACCTGATGCGTATCTGCTCGAAGCAGTTATTGGCTTCCTCTCCAACTTCTGCGGCTCCTTGCTTCGCATCCGCTGTCTCGGCCTGCAACATCCTACTAAGCGCTGCGTGGGCAGTCTTGAGTCTTCCCAGGGCATCGTGCTGCAGCAAGCTCTGAGATGCTGCACTGCCCTCAGCAGCAGCTGCTGCTGTGCGAATGCTTCGGAAGCAAACCCGTAACTGCCGCAGCGCGTCAGGGGCCTCTATGGGGCTCCGAGATAAAATCTGCCACGGTATCTGCGCCATCCCTTCTAATTCATGCGGAGCCCCACACAAAAATGTGCACAAATATTTTTGTATAATTGCATTAAAAGGTAGCAAGTAAGTAGTGCGTGTTTAGGCCAGCTGGGCTCAAAGCAGGTCCAGGAAATGAAATAGACGGGAAATTAAGCGCCGACACGAGAGCTCAAGGTGAACAGGCTATACATATGAAGTAATGGCAGCAGCATTAGCAGCTGTGGTTGACGTTCACGACGAAGTACGGCCACCTGGGTATTTTTCGCAACACCTGCAGCTGCTGGTCAACGAGTTGTTGCAGCTACCCTCAGTGTATCTCCTGGAAATCTCCCTGCTATCGTGGATGTCCCCTTAGCGCCTCTGTTGCTTTTGTCGCTGCTGCGTAGGCCCGTGCTAGAGCTTCCGAGGCGACGGCAGGTGCCGCAGCAGCGGATTGCGTGGAGAGGGCTTCAACCCTCTGAATTCCCTATGGCAGTGGCTTATTTGGGATGTCAAATCCGGTTCTAAATTATTGGAACAAATTGAAGGAGTCAAGTTGTAGAAGGTTTGAGTGCCCATGCTTAGGGAACGCCAGATGGGCCTCACCACCTGTGGGAAAGCATTGTGGGTAAGAGTTTTTATGCCTACTTAAAAATAAAATGTAACTTAAATTCAAGTCAACTTCATTTTTAAAACCCGTAAATGCGCTTTTCTGTGAGCTTTAACAAGTGCATGCACACTACGGGCTGGGCCCCCAGTAAGCCAAGGCCCCTTCAGCCCGTATGCCCGGATAGCAATCCTTGGATCTTTGGGCCTCAGCACTTAATGAAAGTTCGTTGTAGTAATAATGCTTTGTGTTGTTTGCCGGAAGATGCTGTGGTATATTTCGAGTCCCTAAGCAGATCTTGACTCTTAAAAACAAGTTGCGGTAGGAACTGAGAAAAATCAAGACATCGAGAGAAACTCCAGAACCGTACACCCTGAACTCTGCACGCTTGACTAAATAATGGCCTCGAAGTGTCTGCCTACCTTGACACGGTGGCATTACCGCTCCAGAATGTGTGCAGCAATGTTTGGTTGGAGTGTCCAGGGCTGTACGGATGACAGCCTATTTTAGAGCTTGGATCTATGAATTATGTTTTAGGTATACATATGTAAGAGTTTGTCCAAGCTGCTCAACCAATATTTGGGGATTTGTTGGCCATCTTAGTGCGTTTCTAGGTTCCAAATAGGGGCGTCGCTAGGAGGTGCGCGCCCCACGACAGCAGTCGTTCTCAACCCCTTCCTGCAACAGCTCCCTGTGGCATCTGCGACTACGGGTAACATCACGGTGAGCTGGAGAGGTTCTTTCCTACTAAGGCCTTTAGTATGGCCTCAATTACTCAACTATCTTTGAGCAGCAAAAATGCAATTGACCCACAGGATACATGGCTTAGTATCTACGGCCTTAGGTGTATCGCTGTTCATTTACCAATGTTTTAACTCCTAGACAGTTAAGGTTTGTTGAGCGTCTTTGGCTGAGGCCACCTCCAGCTAGGTGCAGTTTGGGCAGCCCCACGTGCTCATGCCATTCCCGCTGTTTAATTGTGTTTAATCGTGCACTGTCTGTCTTGGTGAGAAGGTGTATGGCTTCGAGGTGCTCGTTCGATGCTAGCCTCAAGCTTCTTACTCCTTGCTAGCTACTTGGTAGATCGGTTGAACGTCTGCTTAAGTACCACGGTCTATTGCGTCTCCTGTATTTTACTTATGCAGTTGAAATTCATTACGGGCCACATATCAAAGCGGAACAAGTGCGCTCAGTTCATTTCTTGGGCGATGAGTACATGGTAGTCTGCGTCACTCTAGGATGCCCGGCGCACCACTGGTAAACGTAGCGCGAAAACGGGTCCATAGCTTGTTAACTACGCTGAACGGGTTGAGAAAAAAGAAGGGCCTCTTGAACCAGTACGGTAACAGGTATTCGAGGCCTACGCTTCTCGCTAAGCGAGAAATGCGGTGAGCAGAAGCACTGCCAACTAAACCCCTGTGGCTGCGTGGACTGTGCAGAGAAATGCTATTTCTCTGCACAATCCACACAGCCTCTCTCTACAAGCCCAGGCACAGCGCGAGTCTGGTTCCTTTCGAATGGGCTGGCTAGCCCGCTGTGTATGTGGCTCAATAGCCACATATATATTCACCTGGCTCTCTACTTTGATACACTGCATGCAGTAGCACAGGAACCCACTTTCCACCTAGCTATAGAGTAGCCTAGCCAGCTACGTACTGAGCCAGTTGAGAAGTGAATTACTTATCTACAAGCGTATAGAGATGTGACTAGACACGTGACTGTATAGTTCTCGATGTGGAGACTTGAGACTAAAGAGACCGGCTCTGAGGCATACGCTTCAGAGAACAGCAGTGCAGCGAAGACCATCTCTGAGAAAAAAATAGGAATGGGAAAAGTCCTAGGAAACATAATGAGAGCTAAGTTCACGCACATGAACGAAAGACTGACAAAGATCTCGCAGGGACAAAGACACTGCGCACGACTCAGGTCGCAATTCACAGAGCCGCCGGGCCACCGCGCCACAGGCGGAGCGCTGGAATTTTGGGATGCTCCCAAAGGATGTGATGTTGCAAAGGCAGCTGCTGCTTCTGCTTCGGTTGCCATTCCTTCTGTCAACTCAAGGCTACACAGCATATAAGTCGGCACCAATAGCAGCAACTGCTGCAGCAACAGCAAATCAAATCGCGTAACCATTATTAGCACTAGCCTCTGGTTCTCTCTGCACATGCTGATAAGTATGTGCCGCTGTACAATATACAATAAAGTCAGCTACGTGGCCAGTAACAGGCGTGTAAGGCTCTGTACGTCCTGTTGCAGCTTCGGCTTAGGATGCACGCTTAAAACAGCAGCAACCAGGCATGTTGTCGAAATCAGTGTCCATCAGGTCCTCGTGGTCTCTTCAGCCGTCCGCGCAGTGTCGCAAGGTCGCCTTCCCTCTGCCGCCTTAACTTGGCGGCAATGCCTTATGGTGCTGCTGTTAGCCCTGAACGCGGCGTAGGCAACCTCCAAGGCAGCAGACACACATGTTGCCGCTGCAGCTTCTGCAGCGTGCGCTGCTTGTCATGGCTTTGTTATCACCTTGAGTACACTCAGAGACTCATGAAAGCCCCCAAGATTAGCCAGCGCTCTCAAAGCAGCTGGAGAAACACTTGGATGCTGCTTTTGCTGCTCCTGTTGCTGTTGTTGCTGCTGTTGTTCTATCGCCGGCAGAAGCAACTCCCCCACTACACCCCAGAGAGTGCCACTGAAAGGCGTCCGCAGCCACGCCAGCTGAGAAGCAGACAAGAGAAAAATCATGACTATCAATTTTAGTTGCAACGTTTAAATTTCTACATAGCAAAGCAGCGGTAGCATGAAAAGTTACTGCTCCCGCTATCCTGCAAGCATGCCGGCGAGTTTCAACATCAGCACAGCTGGAAAGCAGGCACACAGGTGTACCGGCACCAACAACGCTGCAGTAGTCAATGCAGAGGATATCTTTTAAGCAAAAGGAGCACCAAACAGCAACAATATAAGCGGCAGGGCAGGGCGTACCTCTGTCAAGAGTGGAAGGTGAGGTCGCAGCAACGGAAGCAACTGAGGGCTTGCAGCCAAGGCCCCAATGCAACCAACAGCAACAGCAGTGGCATCATTAACTCCTTCCCCTTCTTCGTCATCGCTTTCCTGGTCATCCCAGTCAGCTGCTGTTGCTGGTGGAGCCGCTGATGCTGGTGGCGCAGCGGCAGACAGCTGCTTCCGCGCTCCTGCTGGTGAGAATCCTGCCACTCCAACAGCTCCCTGTGCTGTTGCTGGTGCTGCAGCTGGTGTGCCTCTTGCGGAGTCTGCTGGGCTGCATGCTGCTGCAGTGCGAGGTGCCGACTGATGCGGCGTATTAAGCAATTTTTGCTGCTGCCTGAACAGGGCCTGTTGCGGTTGTTGCTGCTGCTGCTGGTTATGCTGCAGCCGCTGCTGTTGCTGGGGATGCACAGTATTGGAAGATTGCTGTTGCTGCTGGTTTGCATGAAGCGCGAGCTGCTGCTGCTGAAGCTGCTGTGTTGGCACCTGCTGAGGCGCCATCCCCCGCCGCTGCTGTAACTGCGGTTGCTGCGGCTGCAGCTGCTGCAACTGCCACGTGCCTACCGCTGCTTGGTTTGACATTGTTTCCTGAAACTGCTGCTGTTGAAGCCACACTGACTGTTGCTGTAGCAACTGCTGTTGTTGCTGCTGTTGCATTTGTTGTTGGTGTAGCTGCTGTTGCTGTTGCAGGTGGAGTTGCTGCAGCTGTTGCTGCTGCAGGTGCTGGTCTATCTGCTGCTGCTGCTGCTCCGTAGGTGCGCCAGATGCGTTCACCGTAGGCGACGGAGGCAGCGCTGCACCCAGTTGCTGGGAGTAGTCGAAAGTGAGTGACGGTCTTGCGGCTTCCGTATCCTGGTGCTGTTGATCTAATTGCTGCGGCTGCTGCTGCGGATGCTGCAGCAGCTGTTGTTGTTGTATGTGTGACTGCTGCATGTCTTGCGAGCGCATCTGAAACGGCTGTTGCTGTATGTGCTGCTGCGGCATCATGTGCTGCTGTGGAGGCACCACGTGATGCTGCTGTTGTGGCTGCAGCAGCTGCTGCTGCATCTGTTGCTGCATTGGGGGGGTGGCGAATGGTAGGCGCTGTTGCTGCATCACGTGCTGTTGCTGCAGCTGCTGTTGCTGCATCGGCATGCGCTGCGGCTGCTGCTGTTGAATGTCCATTGGTACAGGAGAAAAAGGTGGGACCGCCATGGGTGCTGGCTGCAGCAGCTGCTGTGGGATGGGCTGCTGCTGCAAGTGCAGCTGCTGCGCCTGCATCTGCTGCTGCTGCATGTGCTGTTGTTGCTGCTGATGCAAATGCATTGGGGGCAGGGCAATGGGTTGCTGCTGCACCATTCCAGGCATTAGCTGCGTCGGCAAAAGTTGGGGTTGCGAAGGCGTCGCTCCATGCTGCTGCATGGAATGCTGTTGTTGCAGCAGCTGCTGCTGCTGCACGTGCTGCCCTTCTTGCTGATTTTCCTGTTCCTGCTGCATTGGCTGCACCATCTGTACACACGGTGCAGCTGCTGTCTGATGCATTTGCGTAGAAGGTTCGGTCGATGGTACCTGCTGCTGCTGCTGCTGCTGCGTGGGGTGCGCAAACTGCTGCTGAGATTGAGGCTGCTGCAGAAACGGCTGCTGTTGCTTCTGCTGTAACAGTTGCTGCTGCTGCGCCACCAGCGGATCCAGAGCTGCTGCAGCAGCAGAGCGCGGACCTCTGGTGTCCCTACGGGACAACAGTCGAGACACAGTCTCCTCCAGACTGCCAGCATCAGTTACACGGTGTTCCGCGGCCCCATGGCTGCTATCTCTCAGCCCTGCAGCGGCAGCAGCAGCAATGGCCTCAGCAGCAAGTTGTTGCCTGTCCTCCGTGGGAAGCCGAGCAGAGGAAGTAACAGCGGCCAGCTGCTGCTGCGGCGGTAGTCTTGGTGTTGTCGATCGCATAAAACGAGGTGCGCCGCCACGGTGCAGCCAGCCTTCTGCTGTTGTTGCACTAGGAAGGTCTGCTGCTTTGTGTGCCGAAATAGATGCTGCTGCACCATCAGGCAGCCGAATGCTGCTGTTGCTGAAGTCATGAGAAGCAGAAGCTGCTGCTACTGCAGCTGCTGACGCACCAGCTCCCGCACACGCTGGGCTAATCGCTTCTGCCAGTTCCTCTTGGGCCAACAAACGCGCGGCCTCCATCTGCACCAAGCGATAGCAGCAAAAGAAGCACCCTAAGAGAGAGGCGAAATTCCAGAGGTACATGAGGTAGCAAAATGCAAGCAAGAACGACATCAGATGCCAGCGACACAAAGGGCTGCAGGGTAAGCAGACACAGCAAAGGCCAACAGATAGTATGGCTCCAGCTGAAATGACAGTAGCAACAACACCAGCAGAAACAGCAGCAATACCATCTTGTGTCGGATATAACGCAACAGAGGCGTCAGAAAGAGTTTCGCCGCAGCTTCCGCTACAGAAGCCTTCGAAAAGTTCGCTGTAGCGGCTTCAGCGGGCTGGTCATGGCTGCTTGCAGCTGCTGAGGTTTCTAATTCTGCCGTTGCTGTGCATGCCGCATGCGCTGCAACTAGTGCTTCCAGACACGATAGCAGCAGCCGTGGCGGGGCGGTACAGGTTAAATACAAAAATGAAAGAGCCGCTGCAGCAAATGACAGCGGTGTAAGAAATTAAACATAACACAGAAGCACTAAACTCAGTAGGAGCCATAGTAACAAAGACCCCAACGACGCCAGTAAGCAGGAAGCGCAGCAGCAAGGACAGCAGCAACACTACCGAGCTCTGCATTGACACACCGCGAATAAGAGACTTCGGTACTCTCAGGCGCGGCAACTCAACCTCTATTTGCAACAGCGCGGCTGCCACTGACAAGAACACATCCATGTGCGGCCCCAGCACCTAAAACAGCAGCAGCAGATGTGCACCCTTTCAATTTCCCGCCAAAACCTCTAATATCGTCAAATGCTGTCGTCGTTGTTGCTGCTTCAGACGCACCGACTGTCTGAAGAGAAGCAACTGAGCCGCTGTTTCAAATGCTGCCTGCAAGAACTGTAAACCTGCAGGCAGAAACAGCAGAGCCACAGCAAGCAAGAACTTGCAGTTTGACTCAGTGGGCTAAAGCAGTGACAGTATCTAGGGCCTCTGTAGTAGCGGCAAGAAAAGCTGAAGCAGCGAAGGCAACGATAGTCCATGCAGAAATAGCATCAGCTGCGCCGGCACGAGCACCAGCGACAAACTTCAATGCGGGCTACCTTTCGCATTGAGAAGTGACCTAGGAAGGCGAACGCCCGCTTCTGCCTGAAGGCAGCGCAGCAGCCTCGCAAGGGAAGCAGCAGCAGCCAGCCCAATCCAAGACTCTTCTGGCTGCGGCCCCTCGGAAATTTGCTTCTTCCCGCGATCTCGCCGTTTCTGTTCGTGGTCAATTTGGGGCGGCCATGACGTCCCAGGGCACACAGAGTAAGACGGAGGTAGCTGCAACCAAGAATAGCACACTTACCAAAGCTGCTAGATAAAATGCTGTTTCAGGGGACTCAACTGCTACTGTTGCTGTGGCTGCTACTAGCGCTGCAGCTGCATACCAGGGAGATAATTGCGGAGAATGCTTTTGCTGCGCTTGTTGCCGTTGAGAGAAAAGGCGAGAGAGCTTCAGCCTCTGAAGCGAAATCGAGAAAGAGCATTTCCTGCAGCTGCTGTTGCTGTTTCTGTGCAATCGTAGCCGCTACGCCTGCTGCTGAAGTAGCGGGCATCCCCCGAGTAGTGCACGGCGCTGCTGCTGCAGCAGCAGCGGTTTCTGCCACGGCTTCCTCTTCAGTAACAAGCTGCTGCTTCACTCTGTTCACAAGGGGCGAGAGAGAAGCAGCAAACTGCGGACCCAGCTGCTGCAGCAGCCGGAGCAAGACAAACATACGTCTGCTGCTGCTATCTCGGCGTAAATTACAGGCAGAAAATATCGCTGCTGCTCTGCGCATCAGCAGCAGCTGCAAAGGACGTGGCAAAAGCTGCACCGCCTGCTGCAGTGCTTCAGCAATGGACTGTACAGACACTGCATTATCGCTATCTGCAGTAGCAGCGGCTTCTGTTGCTGCTGCATCACCACTGTAGCTGGCGTCATTGCCGTATCCTGATTTTGTCAGCGCAGAGATACAGGAATGCCCAGCACCAGCAGTCGCAGGGACGGATAGCGGTGTTCGAGGTGGCTCCTGGTGCTGCTGCATGTGGACAACGACGAACTCTGTGGCGTCCTGCAGCAGCACTGCAACCGAGGAGGGGGGTTCCTGCAGCTGCTGCTGCAGGACAGCAGCAGCAACAGCAGTGCCACTGGGAGATGTGGCTCCTGGACTGAACTTCTGGACCCTAGTCTGCTGCGGCAGTGCCTGATGCGTTTTGTGAGGCCCGACTGGTACTGTCGGCGTCCCTGAACTTCGTTGTTGCTGCTGCTGTTTCTGTTTGTCCTCAGGCGGCTCTACAGGCACGCCAAAAAGGAAATTTTGAGTTGGCGTTGGGGGCGGCAGTGAAGAGGCGACGGCACGGGGTGTGCTCACAAGTGGGGCGTCCGTGTTCCCAGCGCCAACTGCTGTCCCTGCTGTTCGTGCAGCTGGCGCTGCTACTGCTGGTGCAGCGTTTGCAGAGCTGCTCTCGCTAAATACCTCTTCCTCAGCGGTGCGCAGTCGCTTTGCTGCTGCAGGCACTGCGGAAGTACCATCGCTTGCTATGGAAAATGAGTCCCTCTTTGACTGTCGGCCCTGCTCTTGCGTTTGCTGTTTCTGCTGCTCTTGTCGCTGCTGTTGCTGCTCATGCTGCTGTTGCTGCTGCTGCCGTTTCTGTGACTCCGACGGTTCGAGACCTAGCATTGTCTGCAGTTGCAACAATTGCCGCAGCTCCCACCTGGTACTGTAGCTTCGCAAGGCTTCGACAGCGTAAGCTTTTGAGGACGTCGCCTCTGTTGCCCCAACCCCTAGGGCTCCCTCTTTCTCTTTAATAAGGCCTTCTAGTAATTCTGCTGCTGACAATTTGACAAATGCTGCTGCTCCCTCACCTGCCGGAGCTGCCATTACGGGTGGGAGCGTAGCTGAGCGAGGGGTAACAGTACCAGCTCCTGTCGCTTGCGCTGTAGCAGCGGCAGCACGACTTGCAGCAACACGCATCATCTTTTCTGTCCGTAGTGCAGCAACAGCAACGCAATCGACAGCCGATAATAGCGCAGCAGCTGCAGCCTTCAAGTTCGCACCTTCCTCCTCCAGCCGCTCCTCCTTCAAAGGCCCCCCCCAAAACTCTGGGAAGCCTCCAGAAGCGCTACCGCTGCTGCTGCTGCTATTGCTGCTGCTCCCCCTTAAAGGCAGCGTTGGCGGACGAGACAGTGCATCCGCAGGGGACTCTGGGCGACGGAAGACTCGGCCTTGGCGTGTCAGGGCTCCACTGACCTGCGCGTGCGCCCAGTGTGCATGCAGACAAATAGTGCTATGCAAACAAATCCTGAAACACCATGCATCCGGCGTAGGCACTAGATCCTGATATCTTAAGTCGAACGCATACCTCGCTTGCTTGATCCTGCTCTTCCTCATGGTCTACCCATTCCCCATCACTATCCACAATTTCTTCTGCGTCCTCAGCAGCAGCTACAGCAGCTTCAAATACCGCGTAAGAGTTGTTGTTGCTGCCGTTGCTGCGCTGCGCCGCGGCACCAGCGACCAACAACGGTCCAATAGAGGCCCGGCTGTATCCTGCAAGGTAGAGTCTGTTCTCCACCGGCAACAGCAAATTCGCTGACAAGGCGCTTGCCAGCTGCAGCGCGTGCAATGCCAGTAGGGGCCCTGCCTTGCTGCTGGCGTTGCTGCTGGCTGCGGACCACGGCACACCGGGCAGCAGCAGCAGCTGGGGCTGCAAAATATCCATCGGGTCTAAAGGAGCTGCTGCATCTGCAGCTCTCCCTGCTGGCGTTGTAGCTATGTTGTATATACACCCCAAAACCTGCGGCAAGTCGACGGCCGGCTCGCGAGGACGGTGCAGCGACAGCAGTCCTTCTCTGCATGCTGCTGCCGCTTCCTCCAGCAGCAAGCTCACTTCATACAGCAACCCAGGATGCTGCAACCGCAACGGCAGCATTATCAAAGACTCCAGCGCCACCGCATGTGTCGAAAGCACCTACCACAACTGAAGTGGTTAAAGGTTCATAAGGGCAGTTACGTAACCAGCAGCACAGCTAAAATGAAAACGACGACCAGTAATCCTGATGGCACCACCCAAGCCTCCAGCTGCTGCTGCTGCTGCTGCCGCTGCCAAATAGGGCTACTGGTGCGTTTGTCATTGCCAGTATATGTTTTAGCGCTGTCGCCGGACTATGTGCGCCAGCAAAAGTACTAGCTGTTGTTGTTGCTGCCTCCTCCCCTGTCGCTGTTGCCGCTGGGCGTGTCGCTCCTGATTTTCCTGTTGCTCACCTGCTCGAGGGAAATGCCCCTGAGGGGCCTGGACAAATAATAAAGGCAATTTACAGCGAAAGGAAAATCGCCGGGGGCATAACGGCGGTCGGCTAAACTTTGCGTAAGACGGCGCACGTCTGAATGGCAGAAGCAGCAGCAACGACACCAGCACTATACACACAAACATGTGAGCAAGCAGGAGCGAATGAGAAGAGGAAACTGATATTAAGAGGCAGAGCTCGGAATTACCTCCAGGCCATGAAAAGCCAGGCATACAGAGGCACAGCGGCATATCTAGGTCTCACTCCAAACCCTACGCCCTAGACCCTACACCCCAAACCCTGTAATGTAAACCCTTGCCTGTAGCTGGCCCCAGCTGTCCTGACTCTACAAGATGGCGCCGGCGCTCACGAGCCAGCAAGCGCGCAGCAACTGCCTCGGGCGAGTACTTTGCAGCCAGCCTGCACGAACCCTCATCCTGAAACCCTGAACTGTATTCCTTCAGCCCTAGTCCCTAGATCCTAAAGCCCTAGACCCTACGGGCTGTTTTTCGGGTGGCATATACACGTGCTAAAAGCGGAGAGCACATAAACCCAATATGTTTGGCTGCTCTTGGGGACCCCGTGCGAGGTAAATCCTTGGCCCGACCTGTCCCTCCTCCTGATAAGCCTGAATATATCCGCTGCCGCATGCCTTTGTTGCAGCGCTGCTCGTCTTTCTGCTTTGACCTTGTTGCTGAGCATGTCGGCCTCTGAGCCTTTCACGTGTTCTTCCTGCTCTTGCTCCTCCTGCAGCTGCTGCAAGTGCTGCTGCTGCGGCAGCATGTGATGATGGGGATACTTCTGTGGGTGTCCAGCTGGCCCCACTGCAAGCTGCTGGGAAAGGTTGCTGTTCGTTCCACTCGCCGCTGCTGCTGCAGCAGAGTACGGCGCAGAAGTGGCAGCTCCAGCAGCAGCACCCCGTCTCGGCAACTCTAGGCCCGGGGGCTGTAGCTGTTTCCTCAGTTCCGGAGAGACCTTCTCTCCCTCAAATGGCCGAATCCAGCGCACGTAAAATCGCTTGACCTGAATTCAATTGTAAAGGCATCTCATATAACACGCACAATGTTGCTACTGCTGCTGTTCAAGCTGATGCTGCTGCTAGTCTTGTTGATGCTGCGATGGGCCTGGGTGACGCTGCTCGTGCCCCTTCTACTGCTGGCAATCTGAACTACGCAAAAGCCGAGGAATCACCAAAAGCTGAAGCAGCAGCAGTAGTAGCGCTAACACCAGCTCAGCGCTGGCAAACACGAATATAGTCAGTAACGGAACACGCAGCACGATCACCATCTGGTCACCTCCATTTGAAGCAGTAGCCTTAGCAGCACCAGCAACAGCAGCGCCACTTGTATCCTGACCTGTTCAATCTCTTGTTGGCTGGGTGCCTTGTCTTTGGGAATTACCCCGAGTTGCTTGCCTAGGAATCCCCACTTATTGTTCTTATTCACCCGAGGGAACCCCCCTTGCTGCATCGCGACCAGAAACATGTCGTAAAGATCTATGCGTACCTAAACACACACTCAACATACATTTTTCTGCTGCTGCTGCTCCCGCAGCTGCTGTCGTGGCTGATGATGCTGATGCTCGTGGCGCAGCTGAAGCGGCAGATCCCCCAGCCATCTCTGTTGTTACGGGTGTGCCCTGCTTGTATTGAAGCTGTTGTTCTTCGTGAAGTCCCATGGTGCTGTCGGCGGCGCTGTTATTGCTGCTGCCGCTGCTGCAATCAGTCTTGCTTCTGACGCTAATAAATAGGTTGCATACCCCCAATAAAGGGTCTGGGGCTAAGGTCTGTCCCCTTTCGGTATGGAAGGCGGAAAGCGAGGAGAAGAAAGTGGCGCGGTCCATCAGGGTCCGGCCTGAGCTGCTGCTGCTACTGCTGTTCGCGTTCATTGTGCTGCTGCTGCTCGTCTTGCTACTGCTGTTGCTTTTGCCAAAACGACGCTGGCAACACTTTGCCCACAGTCCACGGCGCCAGGGCCGTTGGAGTTGCTTATGCAGCTGCTGTCAGCTCTACTTCTCAGGCTGCTGCTTCTGGAGCTTTTGAAAGGTTCGTACGGGGGATTCGTTGGCCCGCTGCCCCTGCCTCTGCTAGGACTGTTTGCTGCTGCTGCTGACGTCGCTGTCGCTGTTGCTGTTGCAGTAGGCACAGGACAAATCGTTCGTAACTGTAACAAGGCGCTGCTGCAGGCCCAAGAGACACTCGGGAGACTTAGTCGCAGCAGCGGCAGCAGCAGCAGCAGCTCTAAAATTGCTGCAGCAGCCGCTTCTGTCGCCGCTGTTACTGTAAAACTGGCCGTGGAAGAGGCATGCCCCTGTAGTTCTTGCTGCTGACTAGACAGGGATACACCAGCCACTAAGTGACTCTGCTGTCGGATTATGCCGCTGCTGCTGTTGCTGCAGCAGCAGCAACAGCAGCAGCTACACGGGGCACCAACCAGTGGGGTGGATGGTGCAGCAAGACAAAGTTCCTCAGGGTTTTCTGCGTGTCGCAGCTGTATTACTTGATGCTACTGCTGCTGCCGGTGCATGCAAGGCCGCTCCCTCCTGGGGGCGGCGACTGCAGCAGCCACAGCCGCTGTAGCTGTACTTGCTAGGGAAGTGGCGGCTTGTTGAAGATTCATTTACACACTCAGCAATTGAGAAGCTGCTTTAAATACATAAAACAAATATTGTTAAGTAGCATTTAAGGGAGGCCACTTGCTTGCTGCTGCAGCTCGTCGACTGGCCAACGGCAGCAACGGGGACAGTACCAGCAGCAGCAGCAGCAGTAGCAGTACTGCATAGCGCCCTCCTACAAAGCTCTGCCCGCAGCTGCTGCTGCTGCTAGGGTCTTCTGTGTTTGTTGCCTTTCTGCAGTACACTCTTGGCGCTTTACTTATCTGGTCTTTTCCACCAGTAGTTCCCTACTGCAGTAGCAGCAGAAGAGCTCATAACAGCAGCAGCAGTGGCAGCAGCTGATCTGCGCATCGGCACGCAGGTCGAGGCACACACTGAACCTTCTTCTCTTCGCTTTTTCTCTAATATTATTGTTGCTGCTGCATCTGTTGCTGTGGGGAGTACCCAAGCGGCACCGTGCTCCTGGAGGCGTCGTGCAGCGCTCAGCAGCAACAGCAGCAGCAGCAGCAGCTGCTGCTGCTCTCAAATCCGTTGTTCAGCATCAGTGGCCAAGGCAGCAGCGCAAAATGTGTGCAGCTGCAGCGAAGGCGCTGCAGCTGCAGCAGCGGTGCCTCTTTCTCTCTAACTCATCTCGTGTGCTGACGTTTCCAAGACTCTCAACGGCATCATCGGTAGCAGCAGCAGCGGACCGCAGTCACTCAGGCCTTCTCCACCCTTCTTTCTGCCCTTATAAGCAGCAAGCTCGCCAAGCGAGCACCACGCAGGCCACTTCAGTCCCGAACCAGTCCAAAGGCAGCAATGGCGGCAGCAGCTCCAGCAGTACCTCTGCAGCAGCAGATGGCTTCTTATCCGGCACCGCTACTTCCTACGCGGAGCAGATGCTTGTCGCATGGCGCCGCGATCCTTCATCTGTGCACTCGTCTTGGGCGTCCTACTTTACAAATTTGGAGAGTGGCCTGAACCCAGCTCTTTGCTTCACCCCTCCTCCAACGCTGCTGCAGCAGCCGGCTGCGGCAGCTGCCGCCGCTGCAGCAGCTGCTGCCGCAGCTGCAGCAGCTGGGAAAACAGCTGCGGGGCTTCACCAGGTCCCGGGAGCGACGGCAGGGGCGATGGCGGGTGTCCCTGACCGTGCAGCAACCGCCGCTGCTGCAGCTGCCGCCGCGTCTGCTGCGGCCGTTGCTGTACAAGGCACTGCCACCCCCGCCAGTGCCTCCATGCCAGCCATCACTCCTGCCCAGCCTATCAGCATCAGCAGCAACGATCCCCTTACTGCTGCAGCCACAGCAACTGGTGTTGCTGGCACTGGTGGCCACCAGTCTGTCCACGACACGTCTCGGCTGATCCAAATGATTAGGGGATATCAGACAAGGGGCCATGAAATAGCCAACATAAACCCCTTGGGGCTTCCCCGGAAGCCCCCCTACTGTTCGCTGAGAGCAGCGCAGCGGCCACTGCAGCTGACCCCCGAGCAGTATGGGTTCACTGCTGCAGATATGGACAGGGTATACGACACGAGGGTGCCTGGGATGCAGGGATTCTTGTCCCCTGACTCTCCTCCTCGACGGCTGCGGGAGCTGGTGGAGCGGCTGCAACAGACCTACTGCAGCAGCATGGGGGTTGAGTACATGCATATAGCAGACCCTAGTGTGTGCAACTTCATTCGGCAAAAGCTGGAAACGGAGAGGCCCTACGCGTACAGCAGCGACAGCCGCCGCAAGATTCTTGCGCGGCTTGCCCGTGCGCAGCTGTTCGAAAATTTCTGCGCAGCGAAGTTCGCGACCACGCGGCGGTTCGGGCTGGACGGGTGCGAAAGCCTCATAGTGGGGATGAAGGCAATAACAAAAAGGGCTGTCGCTACCTCTGTGGAATCAGTGGTAATTGGAATGGCCCACAGGGGGCGGCTGAACGTGCTGGTAAATGTACTGCATAAACCCATGCAGCAGTTACTGAGTGAGTTCCAGGGGGTATCTGGGTTCGGGTCGAGCCAGTGGGGTAATACAGGGGACGTTAAGTACCACTTGGGGGTCGAGTACGATTTATTTGACCGAGATAGCCAGCGTAGCCTCCACTTGGCGGTGCTACCCAACCCCTCCCACCTGGAGGCGGTGGACCCGCTGGTGCTGGGACTGGCTCGCGCCCAGCAGTACTTTAGAAAGGATAAAGAAAGGGGGTTGGTGCTGCCTATTATTATACACGGCGACGCCTCTCTGGCGGGACAGGGAGTGGTGTACGAGTCACTGCAGATGTGCGCCCTCCCCAGCTATACTGTAGGCGGCTGCGTCCACTTGGTGGTGAACAACCAAATAGGATTCACTACGAACCCAGTGGATGCGGGCTCCGGCAAGTATTGCACGGATATAGCCAAGGCCGTAGAGGCTCCCATACTTCACGTGAACGCCGACGACCCTGAGGCTGTCACCTTCGCTTGCGAACTTGCTCTAGAGTATCGGCAGAAGTTCAAACATGACGTCTTTGTAGACATCGTGGGCTACAGAAGGTTTGGCCATAATGAGCTCGATATGCCGAAGTTCACTCAGCCTCTCACCTACACACTCATCGCCAGAAAGAAGCCCTCGCTTGAAATATACGCTGAGAAACTTGTGCAAGAGGTCAGTGCCAGTAGCGTTTACGCTTCAGTCAGGGGGTTTTAGCTAAGGATTCAAGGCTGGGGAAGAGATGCAGGAAGAGTTGAAAAGGTTGGTAGGGAGAGACGAAAATTGGCAGATGCAAAGGGTGGGAGGTATTGGCCGGCTAAAATTGCGAAACAGGGAGAAAGGGACAAGCGGATTGCGGAAATACACACGCAAGGGACAGATGCCAGCGGTGTGGTGTTGTTCACTTTTAATTAAGTGAATCTTTGCCTGCTCTGGTTTTGTTTGTGTGCCAGGAAGTTTTATCTGCAGAAGAAGTGTCGAATATGAAGGCGGACATATGGGAGTTTTACAACAAAGAATATGAAAGCAGCAAAACATTCGTTCCTGCACATCAGGTTGGCAGTAACTGAGATTTACAGGCACATTGTAGGCGCGCATGCTCGCCTAGATTTGTCTTTGCAAACCCTGCTTCGCTGCCTGTTAGTTGCCGTTTAGTTGTTTGTCAAGGCTCACTTTATTTGTTCAGTATCAATACGCCCCACAATGGAAGCACTTGGTCACCCCAGACCATCCCTCCCCTCCACGAGTTACAGGTACTGCGGACTTGAGACCCTCACAAGCCCTGATCGGCGATAGGTGCCTTAGTTTTATGAGCGTTTAACTTTATTTGATCCTGTTACTGTGCGTCTAGATCAAATGGGATTACATCTGCTTTCCTTATTCCCTTTTGGTTCATTCCTGTCGGACCCTGCGGGCGATTTCGCTGGAAGACAGAGGCAGTAGTTGAATGCTCAAATGATCGAAACATTGAGCAAGTAAGGAAACGATCTGGCGTTTCATTGACTCGATTTCTGTATTAGCCGTTGTGTTCATCACAGGCGTCCGTCTCTCTGCGCTGCGGGAATTGGGGCGCCGCATCTTTACCATCCCTGAAGGTTTTGTACCTCACGCGACAATCGCGAAAATAAAAAAGCAGAGACTAGCGGCTGTTGAAGGCAATGAAGATGAGAAGACTCTTGATTTCGGGGCTGCGGAAAACTTAGCCTATGCTTCGCTGCTAAGCGATGGGTTTCATGTAACTTTGCCCTTAAGTGTATCTTATAGTGAAGTGGGAGTTTAGTTGTTGTTTATTCGATCCTTTTACTGGTCGGTTGCTCAACTCATCTCTTCGCGCTGCTTAATGTGGGGACGATGGGAGGATTCGCCCATGCTCTGTGCAGCGATGTGCTTCATATTGGTCTGGTACCTTTACTTAGCTTGTTTGCTCTTTTATTAGTTAGTTGCCTGTACATTTGTCCAGTTACTGCTTTTTGCTTGTCATTTCTATTCTCCATTGGGGTGCGGTAGAGAGTCAGGCCAATGCCTCTCGTTTTCTTTGGTGTTAGTCTGCCAGTGAAGTCTATGGCTTGCTTCCGTTTGTGTTGCAGTTAATGCCTTGCATTTGTTCATCCATCTGTATGTTCGTCCCGTGTATTTAGCCTATCTGTTTTCGTGACCCCTCATTCTTGTGCATTCCAGCACCGGATGTCAAGTCGCCTGTTGTTTCGTTCATTTCAGATTCGTCTGGCTGGCCAGGACGCTCAGCGTGGCACTTTTTCTCACCGCCACGCTGTATTACACGATCAAGCAGTCGAAGCTCAATACTGCATATTCGATTCTCTAAAGGATCTCAATCTGCCCCACACGATTACCATCTGCAACTCACTCCTGTCAGAGTACGCAGGTAAGGATGCCACAGGGGAAGCGGCTCGGTGGCCTGTGATTGGCCTCTCTCTGTTTTGTCTTCTTTTGTCTGTTTTTGACTGACTGCGTTCCCCTTTTGTTTCGTTTTGTCTAATTTTTTTGCCATCTGTTAATGTTTCCTGCTTCCCTTCGTTTTTATTTTTTTTATTCACGTCCTCCTGCTCGTACGTCGCTTTCCTGGTTTTTTGAGTCGCTCTGTCGTTCTCGTCTATCCCTTATGGCGTTCGCCGTGTCTTGTCTGTTTTGGTTGCCGCTTCCTCTTTCGTTCGTTGAGCCGTTCCAGATGCACTAGTACGGCTTACCTGTGTTTTGGGGACCGAAGCCTAGCAGCCCGTATGGAGAAGTGCTGCATGGTTTATTTTTCGTCAGTCTACCAATATTATTCTGTTAATTGCTCCTCAATCACCTACTGGCCCAAGTACCATTCCTTCACTATCGGCTCACTTCTTCTCAGCCATGGGTTATGAGTTCGGTTACTCGATGGAGCACCCCGACACTCTCACCATTTGGGAGGCACAGTTTGGCGACTTCAGCAACGGCGCTCAGATCATCACGGATCAGTTCGTGGCCTCTGCTGAGGTCAAATGGAACAGACAAAACGGTGCATACAGCGCTGATGATAAATAGCAAAATAGACCTCAGCATGTGTAGATGATTGAGTAAATGATTGGTAGATGGGTAGGTGACAGGCACTAAATCGACTGCAGACATATAGGTGGATAAACCCGAAAGAAGCCCCCTCACTTCGTTTGCATCACCAATTTTCCCCGATTTCGCTGCTCCTGTTTGCAGGTTTGGTGTTGCTGCTTCCCCACGGCTACGATGGTCAGGGCCCCGAGCACTCTTCTGGGCGCATCGAGCGTTTCCTTCAGCTATGCGACGACAGAGAGGATGTAATCCATGAAGAGAATTGGGAATTGTCGAGGTCGTCTGTTATTCAGCAGCATAACATACAGGTCAGATACACGCATTTCAACCGTCACCGTAGAGTGCGCCACTTGTGCTTCTGTCCACTCTCATGGTTTCCCTTTTCTTCTTCTTATCCTTGAATTTGGCTCCAAAGGTTTGGCATTTTGGTTGCGGGATAACTGGTGATTGTTTCTGCCGGTTTATTTAAGCTACCTACCTTCGTCTTACGCCCGTGTATCCACCTGTGCTTCTTAGGGGGATGGAAGTTTGGCCTATCTGGTTGCTTTTTCATCTTTTCTGCAATTTCCTTGTCCGTAGGTTGTCGTCCCCACCGTACCCTCGAATACGTTCCACGTACTTCGACGTCAAGTCCACCGCGCTTTCCGAAAGCCTCTAGTTGTATTTTCGCCCAAGAGAATGCTTAGACTGAGGCAGGCAATGAGCCCCCTCAGAGATATCATGGAGGGGACTCGCTTCAAAAGGTTAGGCATCGAGTAGCTAACTCAACACGCTTGCAACAGGAAACTGGGAGCATAGTACATCTATTCATACGTACAAATCATACTTAGTAGATGATTAGCGGAGTGAACTCATTCATTGGTAGTACGTGATGGGCTAGCGAAGAGCGGTAAGTGATACGGGACGTGATGGGCTAGCGAAGAGCGGTAAGTGATACGGGAAGGCAGAGCAAAGACGTGCAGAGAGGATGACAGCGTCAAATCACGCTAGATATGAGAAGCTAGGTAGAGGCGATTACAAAAGCCCGTTTTACCCCCTTCACTGTCTTGCCTTCTGCACGTGTCTCCGTTGTTCGCATACTGTTGCGTGTCACAAACAACACGTGCAGAAGGGAAAGACGGGGCAGGAGGCAAAACTTGGGCTTTTGGAGCTATAGCGCTGCTTATACTTTCAGTGTTTATGTTGTTGCCTGTGCTTGTCAGCATATGTGCAATGTTCCTGTGTTGTTCCTGCCTTGCGTCACAGATACATACCTGATGATTCCATCACTGACCCTTCCAAGATCGAGCGGCTTATTTTGTGCTGCGGCCAGATCTATTACGACCTCCATGCGGAAAGAGACAGAATTAGAAGTGAATATGGGACGTCAGATAATCCAGGTCAGACTACTGCTGCTGGGGCTTTTGCTCCTGCTGCTGTAGCGTTTTGTGCTGTGTTGCAAAGGCAGCTATTGCCTTCATATGTGTTGCTGTAGTTGCTGCCGTAGCTGTTTCGTTGATATTTACTGCATGTATGCTTATGTGTTCTTGGTTTTTGCTTTCTTTGTATTTAGTGTAGGTCTCGTAGTGCTTGTCTTGGCCCCCGACGGCCGTGTTTTCTTGTGCCGTTCACAATACATAATACATACTTGTTCATACCTGCTTTTACGTGCTTTATGTATTTATTCAGGGAACAAGGTGGCTTTAGCTCGTGTAGAACAGCTCTCTCCCTTTCCCTTCGACTTGGCCATTCGGGACCTCCAAATTTATCCAAACTTACGAACAGTCGTTTGGGCTCAGGAGGAGCCCATGAACCAGGGTGAGGTCAATCCATACTCGAATTTTGCTACTTGACCAGCTCTCCTCCAGTCACGAACTAGGTGGTCAGTTTCTCAGCAAGGCAAACTGATTTGTGTGGCGCTATTTGGCTTCACTAGTTGTTCTTCTCGTACTCTGTTGCTTCATGGTGTTGGGCAAGCATGTGAAAGTTAACGTTTTGCACCGTAGTCCTCGTAAATCAGTTAGCAACGAACCAGCGTAAAGCCCATGAAGTAGCTACTCAAGGTAAGTGTTTTGCAAACGAATAATTTAGTTGCCTATCTGTTTATTTGCGTGCAGGTGCTTGGTCCTACACCAGCAAGCGCATTGAGTCCTGCCTCCGTCATTTGGGCTGCCCAAACAGAATCGAGCGTCCCATTTATGTAGGAAGAGATGTATCAGCAACCACAGCGGTAGGAGATAAGGGCTTACATGACAAGGTACGTTTCTCGCTCTTGACTGAAATGCTGATGCCTTATTAGTTTAGCTTACCAGTCGCCTGCGTGCATGCTTGTTCGCTTTACGTGTTAACTGGTCTGTTTCTCCATGGCTTTGAACCAGTAACAACACCTAAGACAACAGTCGTAGTTTTGTATGACTGGGCAGTTGGCCTTCTGGTTATGGGATTGATTGTCGGTGAACAAACAAATAGATTAATAGATGGGCAGGCACAGGGGTGTCACGAGTTGGTCAGTTGGTTAATTTTTTATATGTTTGCAAACAGGAGCTGGCCCAGTTGCTCCAGGATGCCTTTAACCTGGACTGTACGGACAACTCATACTTGGCAAAATATCTGTCTCGAAGGGTACAGGCGGAGCAACGACAACAACAACAAAAGCAGCACCGAATTCAGCAGCAACAGCTGATGCAGCAGGAGCAGCATCAAGAAGAACAGCGACTGCAGCAAGTGAAGGAGCCGCACAACAACTGAAACTAGAAGCGAAGAACACCGTCCCCGATGTTGGCCGCACACAACAACTGAAACTAGAGCCGAAGAACACCCTCACCGATGTTGGCCGCAGCAACAACAAGCAGCAGCAATAGTTTTCAAGTAATTTAGTGCAAATAAATTCAGTACGCGAGGAGCTGTCTTTTCGCGTCATCTGTTCCAGCAGCATTGCTTTTTTATTCCCACCGCCAGTTTTTGCATTTATATTTCTTACAAGCTGCTGCGGTGCTGTTGCTGCAGCAATACCGCTGCCACAGCAGCAGTGTTACTACAGCAGTCGCGGCAGCGGCGAAGAGCTGCTACTGCCAGAGATTCATGTGCATGGTTTAGGGGTGAAGTTTAGCCGTAGTCAGGATGCCGGCAGCAGCGACTGCAGAGGCAGCAGCAATAGCAGCAGCATCAGCAGAGATTCCTGCTGCTACCAAATTGCTCAGGCCGCCGTTGTGGCTTCTTCGTCGTAATTGAAATAGTGGACGCCGAAGGTTCGAAGTTTGCGTTCAAGCGATTATGTTTCAGCGATCTAGGACAACTGATTTACTGTCACGGGTTTAGAGATTTGGCTAAGCTTTTAGGTGTATGGCGCAACCGTGCGCTTCATAGGTTAAAGTAGCAGTAGTGACTTTAGCAGTAATAAGTTCCACAGTCTACGATGAGGTGGTAAGACAGGGCAGAGCGTCGGTTTCAAGGTCTAGGCTTCTTTTTCTTTTTCGCTGCTCTTCGCCTCTGTGCCATGGCCTTGCGATCTTCGTAAGCCTGAACCAACAGCGACAGCAGCGGCAGCGGTTACAGTGAAGAGAGCGATACGTGGCCAGGAGGAGACGCCATCAATAAAGGTGAGGGATAGAAGGACACGCGCAGGAGCAGAACGTGGAGCATTCAGGCGGGAGGGAAGAACCAGAAGAGCTGAAGCAAGCCAAAGAGCAATGAAAAGGAAGAGTCGACAGGTAGGAGGGTCTACCTGCTGCAAAGCTTTGACTGTTTGTTTGTGCTCTTCATCTTCCTGTACGAACCGTCTCCTCCAATCCTCAAAGGCGTCCTAAGCAGCATTGAAAGAGGTAACCCGTATATCTTTCTTATTAATGAATAGGACCCAAAGCATTGACGAAGCATTCATACAGTCATCTGCCTAGTCACCTACCTATGGAGAATGGACGGCTAATTGCCTAGGATATAAATCTTTAATATTAAACTATTTCCACTCTGTTTCGTTGGCTAGAACTGAATGCATTAGCAAAGTGGTTCGCTGCGCATTAACCGGAGAAAGAACTATGTCAGTACTACAATGTTTTAACGCCTTGAATTTAGCAACAAAGAAGAGGGCACACAAAGATAGAAGAGCGCGCATGAGAACAATTGACGCATGCTAGCTCTTCAGCTGGCAAGCTAGCTGGCCAGGGTGCTTGCGTTTGTAGCCCCGTAGTTCGTTAATTAGCTACGAGTGCACACGATTTATTAGGACTATTGCCTTAACCTCGCTTGTTATCTATCTTTTTTGAAGTCAATCTAGCTATCTAGCTCGGCTCCCCAGCTATAGCTGCCGCGACGCTATCCATGGCGTTCAAGTGCTCACCGCCTCTCTGGCAATAGCACGACTCTCGCTGCCTTCCACTGCCAGCCTGCATGCAGACACAATTCCAAATGCTCTCGTTTGATACTGATGCTAGATGGCTACCTAGCCGCATGGACAGTACTACCAGCCGGACAAAGGAAGATACAGAGACAGGCTGAGGCAAAAATGCGAGGGAAAAGTACAAAAAAAGGGATATAGCAAAAAGAAGAAACAGGTTGGTAAGTCCAACGAAACAAGTACGGATGCCGACTCATAAAGACGCAGATAACAAAACAAAGCGACCAGTGAAGAAATGCAGACGAGCAAAGTGTACGGAGAAAAAATTGGCAACGAAGTGAGTAGAAGAGGGGAGGAAGCAGAGGCTAAAGCGGGGAAGCACAGGGCAGAAAAACGAACACAAAAGGACACAGATAAACTGTGTAAGAGGGCAAGAAAATGCAGGAGGAAAGGAAGGAAGCATGACCCAGAAAGCCAACTAGGAACAAAGGGGGCTAGAGAAATGAAGAAAAAGGCAAGCCGAGGCAAAAGGTGGCCTTTCAAGGCAAATACAAAAGAGGGGGCCAAAAGAGACAAAAACAGGCAGACACGAAAACGTCCATCACACCTGAATGCTTCAATCTCCATTTTTCGTGCTTTGCTGTTGGCTTCTTCTGCTGCCATTAGCCTCTTTTCTATTGCCTCTCTGTCCCTCACGTTTTCACAGCAACGGTGATTGGCAGCAACCAGTAAACTCAAACGACGATGCTGCTCGGCAGCTGCATTGCCGAAAGCAACACAATCAGTAGCAGCAAATACACAGCAGCTCTGCAACAGGCACAGCGACAGCAAAGGAAAAAAAAACAGAAGCAAAGGAAGGCACAACGGCACCAAAGGCAGGCAGAGCAGCACCAGCACCTCCATCAGAATACAGAGTTATACAGAGACTACGATGAACACCCAAAGCAGCAGGCGAAGCAAGAACACCAGCGACAATAGCAGCAGCAGTAGTTAAGCAAACCACTCCAGTGCTATCAAAAAGAGCAACAGCAGCCCATGGCGTCAACACGGTACGACTAAATGTTCCCGGTTCTTCCGTCACTGCTGTTCCTGTCACTGCTGGTGGTGCTGCCGTTGAGTTACTGCAACGGCAGCACCACCAGCAGTGACGAGAACAGGAGCAGCAGTGACGAAAGAACCGGGAACATTTATTCGTGCCTATTCGCCTTACTGATGTCATTGTCACTGATGTCGAGGCACTCCAAAGTAGTGTTGTTGCGAAGACTCTCCAGCAGCAGGTCTCCTCCAGCCTGAAGGAGTCAAGTGCACCTTCAAACCCTTAACTCTTAGACCCGGCACCCAACCCCTTAACCCTATCCCTTAGGTCCATGCGCCATGCCAATCTTGTTAAAAGACTGAACATAGCGCGTTATGCGTTGCCGCTGCGTTGTTACGGGACAAAGCTGCTGCGACAGCAGAAGCAGCGATCCCAAAGCAGCTCTTTCATTATCATACAACCCTTAAGCTTTGAACCGTAGCTCCAATGGCCTACTTTGTCAATCTGCATGCCTCTAAGTGACAAGAACTTGAGTGATTTGTTTTGTCGAAGACCTTTGCAGATTTCTTCGAGGCCCTGAGCGCCCCCTAGTCGGCAGCCCCCCAAATTCAGATATTCTAGTGCTGATGTGGCCTGAAGCCGCAGAAATGAAGGCAGTAGCAGCAGAAGTGACAACAGCTGAGGCGGTTACGACGTGAATGGGAGTGAACAGCAACCGTAGCGACAGAAACGGCTACGTTGACTGCTGCAGCAGTGGCGCAGTTCCTTATCATGTGGGGATTATTCTCTGCGGGTTTGTCCTCTAGGCCTTGCCAAATAGTTCACTGCATGAAGATGGCGGGAGTGCAGGAACTGTGCCTGCTCACCACTGCAGTTCATACATGCTATACTGCAAATTCTGTTATTTACTACTTCCGCTGCTACTACTACTGCTGCAGCAAGTATTGGTGCTTGCCATTGCTCCTGTTCGTACAGCTGTGGCTACTCAAGGGAATTATTTTGATCAGCGCCATAGTAGTGAGCCGTGGCCCCTGTAATAAGCAGCAACGCCTGATGCAGGCGCAAAACTGGGGGCACCGGCCAAGGCAGCTACAGCAGGCGCAGCGCCAATAGAAGCCGTGGTAGCCACAGCAACTGCAGCCACAGCAACATTCATAGAAACCATAGCAGAAACGGCAAGAATAGCCAGAGCCACTGCAGCCTCCGCAGTAGCAGAATGTACCTCAATGCATTTCCTGAGTGCAACAGCCGTTGTATAGCCCAAGTAATTTCCTTCTAGTGAAACTTTTTTCAAATTTTTCATTAAAGCCAAAGAACTGCAAACGCCAGGCCCGTCATCATCTGTTAAAGAGACGCGACTTAAGTCTGCAGCACAGACGCTAAAACCCTGAACAGCACTCCATAGGCTCTGGGTCCTAGAAGCCAGACCCTATACTCTATGCTTCATACTTGAAGGCTGAGAAAGTAGCATCTAGAACCTAAGGCTAAACATTTCGCCATGAAAAATGAATCCAAGCCCAAGTCCAAAAAGGCTTGGGTTCAGGGGTTTATGTAAAGCTAGGAGGATAGCTTGAGTGTGACTTGGCGTTTGGACTTAAAGTGCAGGGACGTGAGGTTGCTTTAGGTGAGCAGAAGGAAAAACAAAAGCTAAGATGGGAAGTACCATACGGGCAGAGACATAGGCACTCGCAATAGGGTGACTCAAGTGCTTGTGAGTAAGTACGCCCTCATTTTTATGACCAAGCTCGGGGAAATCTGACGAGCCAAAGATGGGAAACCCCACCTAATTCTTCAATTTGCTCGTTGTCTGCCAGAACATCTCTTAACAACATGCGTATCTGCACAGGTGTGAGACCGAGGGACCCAAAAGACAATGAGGCAGGGATATACGCTTCCTCTTCTGTCTCAGCGCCAGTACTGCTGCTGCTGCTGCTGGAGCTCCTCGCTAGCCTCAGCAGCGCCGTAAAGTTAGTGTCCTTTCTGGACCTCCCTTCTTCCTGTTTGCGTTGTTGCTCCTGAGCATCCTGCATTAGTTTTTTCTGCATTTTGCTTCTCCTTAAATATTCATCCTGCCGTTTTAAAGCCAAAGAGCGGATGCGCTCATCTTGCAGACGCTCTCCAGCTTCTTGTTGCTGCTGCAGCTCCTGGAAGCAGCAAATAACACAGGCTGAGCCATAACGTGGAGAAGCTTGTGCAAGCATCCAGAAATGCAGCCACAGCTGCAGTTGCACTGACGATTCGACCTGTCCTACGTAGTGTTCTGGACCGCTGTCTTTTCACGCTGCGTCTTTTTCCGTCTGTGAAATTGCTTGCGCATGCTGCTGTAAGACAACGGTCTAGTTTCGATGAGTAAAGACTGGGCAAAGATTAGGGAACAAGGGTCTTGCCTGTTCCCGCCGCCTCTGCAAAAGAGCCTTGAGAGCCTCCGTCTGCGGCAGCAACTCCGCCACTGGGAGTATTACAAGGGGTGCAACGGGCTTAGGCTCAAGCGAAGCCATCTTTTAAGCTTGGAATCTGCCGAGAATTAAGGAGAAAGGGCTGTTTCAGTGTCCCGAAAGGTTTTCTCGGTGGTCTAAATACGAATTCTTATATTCATGAGAGGAAAATCGGAAAAACTGGAGGGGAGATGTGGTAAGGTAACATCTCGGATGGAGCCCAAGTGACCTGCTCGGCAGAGTACAGCAGAACAACAGTGAAGAAGAGGCCGCTTCATCCTTCTGCTTACCCAAGAGCCCTTTCAGTGAAATGTTGTTACAAAAAATTTCATTTTTCAATGAATCAATTATCTGCCCCCATAAGATGCCGTAAAGGCATTCACGACCGCCTTATCGTTAAAGGTTCCACGGCGGATATGAGAGAAGCATGACTTAGGTTCGCTGCTCTGTTCCTTTCAGAGTGTGTTTCTTCTAACTCACCACCGCTTCAAAAATAAGCCTAACACAATACTCTAAAATATATTGTAGGCTCAATTTGTTTGTTAGTGCTGCTATAAGTGCACTAATGCTGGCGCGATCGCGCAGTCCCGATTGCTGCTCAGGAAGGCTGCTGCTAGACTAGCTAAAGTCTCAAGGGACGGAGAGCCTCTGGTAATCTGTCAACATAGGAGACTAAATCTGTTACAAATAGTGTAAATGCAACACGCAAAAGAGCAGTATGCACACGAACGCTCCACGGACGCTTCACGCTGCCCCATAACGTTGCCCCAAAACTCCGCCGCAACAGTAGCTGCTAGTACGTTGCAAATTCTCAATACAACATAAAATGTAGCAGCATGTACAGGAAAAACTCATCCTGGGCGGTGGGCTTCGTTGCTCTACCCTAACCCGAAGAGTGACGAGGCCAATACATTGCAGCCTAAGCTCTGATAATAAAAGCTGCTTCGGAATCGACTATACGCCCAGAACAAACCCTAGAAAGAGGTGTTTGTATCGCGTCTCCTTTAATCCTGTTTCCCATGCTTGCTCCACTGCACAATGCACGGTGCATGTGCATGACAAGCACAGCGAGGCAGACTTCAAACGTTCAATTTTCAAATATATATATGAATCTATTCAAAATGCGCCAAGTGTGCGTCCGCCGTTGCAACTCAAACTGCAGCAGGCGGCTCTGTGGCCCCTTCCATCAACTGCACCATCATTCGCGCTCTTCACTGCTTGATGCTGAAACGCCTCAATGGGAACAGCAATTGCATGGGAAGCACTCACTACACAAGACCCTTATATTAGCATAGCCGTCCACGGGAGAAGCGCCACCCAAGCCCTGCCATGCGGAGCGCGAAATCCAAAGTATAAGCAGTGACTAAAATATAAACTTCCGCCTACAAGCTGACCGTCTGTTCTTTTAAGCCAAGTGTACCTGATGCCTTCAAGTGCCGACAGCAACGCGCACAGCGAAAAGAATTACCACTGCCAATAATGATTGTATGGATAGATATAAAATGGATCGAATGGCCTGCAGTCGCAGCTGCAACGGCCGCAGCACTGGAAGCAGACTGCTGTACCAGCACAGCCACAGCTGCACCAGGGCCAAACCCTGCAGGGCACTGCACGCACGGTGCAGTGCGACAGAAACCACAGATAGTTTCACGCCAAGACGCAGACGCAAACCCTGTCTTTGCATATATCATTTCTCTTCTGCCTCTCCACCTCCACCCCTTGCCGTCTGCCAGCTAGCTGTCTAGCGACAACAGCACAGGCACCGTCTGGACCTCAGCCTGAAACTAACGAGGAGCCCAAATTTGGGATTTAGGGCTAGAGGCCCGGGAGGAACCCGGAGGGGAAGCCTTTACGCGCATATGCTGAAAACGATCCTGTTTCTTGGAAAATTAAGTGCCCCAGCGTCCATTTGTGGCTGCTGGAGCTGCTGCCACTGCAGTCATTGCGGCGGGTGCGGCTGCTAGTTACTATTAATGCACTGTCTGCAGTCGCGCCATCTGTGCGAACCCCAGCTGCTTCCTTGCCTAGCCTTTCTGCGGCAGCACAGACAGCAGTGAGAGTCGGCAGTCAGCGTCTATGTTTGAAGGGCCTCCTTTCTGGCCTTCGCCACTAGCATCCTGACGGAGCTGAGTGTCTCAGCCGCGCTTGCTGCTGCGTCGGCGAACATTTTCGTCTTCTGCTGCTGCACTGCAGCATCGATAGCAGCAGCAGCAAAGTCTGCCAGCGCCTCTTTGAGCACTTTGATCATTTGTTCTCTTTTTGTTCTAATGCGCCCTGAGGCGTCCGTCAACTCGCTGGCCGCCAGCTGCTGTTCAGGGGACTCCGACCCCCGCACCTCCGCCAGGATGGCCCCCAATCTTGCCTCCAGAGCCACAGTGGAAGGAAGGGCCTCCGCTATGTGCCGCAGTGCATGTGCAACGGGGTCTACCAGCTTATCTGGGGCGTTGCTGTTGGAAGGGTGATGCAGAGCCTCCGCTAGTTGGTTGAGAATCTCGAGGTTGATGCTCTTGGCCTGCTGCTCCACAATAGTAATTGCGTCGGAAGAGATATCCCCGTCAAGCTCCAGAGCCACCGCATCCCTGGCTGCCTTCAAGTACATGCTGATGCTCGTCTGCATGCGTTGCCGGTGCTGCGCTAGGTTGGTTCGGTCGAAGGAGAGGCCGCTTGAAAGCAACTTGCGCTGGACTTGCTGCCTCTGCAGCTCCCGCTCCAGCTCCTGCTGTTGCTGCAGCAGCAGGCCGTACAAAAGCAACTGCTTGCCTCGACGTACAGTTGGCACAACCGAAGCCGAGCCCTCGCTGCTGCCGCTGTTGCTGCTGCTGCTCAGAGACTGCAGCAGAGACCGGGCAGACGACAGGAAGCGGCGAATCTCTTCTGCGCTCTCTGATGTGCACAGAGGCTCCCCCTGGAGCTGCCCCGCACCAGCCCCTGCTGCTGCAGGCGCTGCATCTGCTCCTGCAGCAGCAGTTGCCTTTGCCTCCTTATCTGGAGCCCCTGCTGGCCATTCCACCTCTGCCGCCAGCGCCTTCACCACTCGCGACAGCTCAAGAGACACAAATGACTGACAGTCCCCCCACTCCCGGGCCATCTTTAGTCTGAATTCAATGGGATTTGACAAGAGGCCCCAGTCTGGCCCAAATTTGATGGTTGAGGGAGCCTTCTGGGTCTCTTCTAACCCCTGTTTCGAGCCCGAACAAGCCCAAGATCCCCCCGTCGGGGACCACGAGCCTCTGGAGGTGCCCCTTTCGGCGGTCGCCCCCAGTGACCCCTGAAGGGTCTGATGGACACCCGCCCTGAGGTCCAGCATCGAGTCCAGGCATACCTTGCGCTCGACCAGTCTCGCTGCTAGAGCCTTTGTTTCTGCTGCTGCTGTTTGCACGTCTTCCTTTAGCTGCTGGATACGCTCGGCAATTGCCTGCGCTTCCCGTTTGGCCCCAGCTACCTCCCGTCTCTTTGCTGCTATCTTTGCGTTCTTCGCTGCTGCTATGGGGTTTGAGAGGACCGAAGCTAGCAGTGCCAGCAGCACTACTCCATATATGTACTTCGGAGGCAACGCCTTTTTCAGCTCCTGAAAATCAGATAAAAGACCAACAGCCGGCCCTCCAGGGGTCCAGTGGTCCTCGTCGTTGTCCCATATGGCAAACAGCTTCTCCCAATTGATGCTCTGGGGCCCCGGAGGAGCACCCACTAGGATACCCCGAGCCGGGCGTGGAGGTAGAGATATCAAACGTGCAGTTTGCACTATTGCTGGAGGTGCTGCGGTGGAAGCAGCTGCCATGGCTAAGGTGGAAGTTGCGCGTGGTAACATTTCTTCCGAGCTTTTCGGCTCATCTGAAACAAAAGTAAACACCTCTAGCAGCTCTTTGCCCTCCTCGTCCGCCCACCGCACCATCCACTCGCTATCGCCGTCCTCCTCCCCGGAGGAACCCGCATCAGCTTCTGCAGCATTACCGCCTGCTGCCTCTGCAGATGATGAGGACAGCGATTCCCCTCTACTCGGCCCTCCGCCGGTGACAGCGCCAGTAGGAACCTCCTGCGCTGTACGGAAAGCAGCAGCAGCACTGGAAGCAGCATCTGCTTCCGCTGCTGAGAGCTGGGGCGCCTCCAGCGAAACGGCTGCCGCCTCCGAGGGATCCCGCCAGGTGTGGGCTCCCAGAGGATATAGGTGTAAAGCTATAAGTGCCCCTAGGGCACGGGCTGGGGGGCCCACGAAAAGGCGGAGGAGGCGGCGGGGCCCCATGCTAAGCAGTGGAGGCGATCGTCAAGCCTGCGATAAAGGCATCTTCTGCTGTTACCGCTGTCCCTGCTGGTACTCCTGCTACTCCTGATACTACTGATGCCACTGCTACTGCTATTGCTGTTGCTGCCACTGTCGGCTGGCGCCAGGAGCAAAAAAGGGAGGGGCAGCGCAGGCAGCAACAACGGCAGCTAAGCAGGGCCCCACAGCCGTGCGGCAGAAGCAGTAGGAACAAATATAATTAAAACGTTTGCTGCATTACAAATATGAGTACATAAGGAGACATAAACACCCATAGCATCCCGCCTTTTCCTACTGATGCGGATGCAGTGCCTGCCACTGCTGGCTGCTGCTGCTGCCTCGCTGCTGCTTCGGGTAAACTTTTTGTCTAGTTCTTTGGCTTCTTCCATGTTGTGCTATTGCTTAACGCTTTTCCAGTTGCCTGAAGTAAATCTGCACTAAATAAGCGATAGGAACAGCCCTTTTTCCTCTCTTTGGCCTCAAGAGCCCAGGGAGCGAGGACTCGGTGGTTCGCTGCCGCTGCTGCGAACGTTTATGGGCTTACCTAAGTTTCAGTATCTCTGCTTATTAGTTTGCAGCTCTTCGTTTGCTCATTGCCATTATGCTTCTTCTGCTCCTTGAACTAACACGCAGGCAGCACTCCAGCAGCAAATTTCTGCGGGTGCCCTGCCCGCCCTCCCTCGGTCTTCCGCGGGCCCAGGGCCTACAGTTTAGGCGTTTCATTGCCTAGGGATTAGGCTACTTCCCATCTACCAGCCCTTCCCTTCGCCGCTGTGTGAGTCGTACGTATTGTTGAACCTGCAACAGCTGCTGGACTGCCGCCCCCATGTGGCTTCCGCGCCCCTATGATTGCGCGCATCGCATTTCAGGTGCTGCATTCTTGGGGCTTTGCATCGCATTTGTATGCGACTCCTTTGAGGGTGCATTGGGCCTTTCAGAGGTTCATTTCTCTGCTCCCAGCGGCAGCGGCAGCTCCACAGACGCAAGAGCAGCCCCGAACGCAGCAGCAATCGAAGTAGCAGCAGCAGCTGAGTCCGTCAATAAGCTGAGAAGCCAGTTCTTACACTATGAAGGCTATGAAGGCTCGTCTCGAGCAGCGGGAGGCCCCTCCTTCTCTGCATCGAGGGCATCAGTGGAGGTCCCTGGGTCTCCACTAGGCCCGCTCAGCCCCAGCAGGTCCCCGACTGGCATTCCGTACTATGACGGAGACAGCAGGGATGAAGAGGACAGTGGGGAGTCTGAGGGTGAGGGTGAGGGCGACGCGTTGGAGCTGCAACAAGAACAGCAGATGGGGGAGGGATACGGGGAGGGCCCGTTTGGGCTCCTGCGGCCGCAGCTCTCTCTGCAACTAGTCCTGTGGTGCATTCTTTCTGGGGCCATTTACTTCATTTTAAAGGGGGCCACGCGAGAAGATGAAAAGCAGAAAAGCTTGGATGTGCACAAAGTGATGCTTCGCAACACGCTGCAGAAGCTGGAGGCCGACAAGACAATCGTGCGGTCCCTGGAGAGCAAACTAAGTGAAATTAGAAAAGAACAGCAAAAGCTTAAAGGAGAAGCCACGGAAATCGACAAACAGCTCAAGGCCGTTGTAGCTGATCTGCAAGAAGCAGCAGCAACGGCAGGGCTCGATGGGGTCACCCACGTGGATGAGCAGCCAGGCAAGAAGCTGCTGCACTTGCAGCGTGGGCACACTCCCAAGACCTCTATTGCCCTTCCAGGACCCCTGCCTGGACATGACAGTGCATGCAAAGAGAACAGCACGCAGCTGCAGTTGCTGCTGCTGAACCAAGGGGACACAGAGAACAACGAATCCACGGTCCGCCGTTGTTTCCAGCTTCTGAAGCGGAGCAAGCAGCAGCAACAGCAGAAGCAGCAGAAAGAGAAGCAGCAAGGCCAGGGGGAACTTGTGGATGCTGCAGAACTTGCTACTCCTCCCACCTGGTATGAAGATGCAGTAGCAGAGGCGTCCCTTCTGCCGCCAGCAGACCGTCCTCGCGGACGCATTGGGAGCAACCGTTTGCTTGCGTCTTCCGCGCAGCATCGTGATCATGAGCAGCAGCAACAGCAGCAGCAGTCAGGAGCGAGGCAGAAGGCACAGGAGCGGAAGGTGGCGCTGCTTGCTGCTGCGGGTGTGATGCTGCTCCGGCAGCAGCAGCTTGAAGTGGACCTGCGTAGAATCCGGAATGAGCTGCAGCTTTTGTCTGCTGATGACGAGCAGCAAGTAAAAGCAGAAAAAGAAAAGTGCCGTAATGTTATGAATCTGCTGCAATCCGTTGGCGCAACTACTAAGCAGTGGCCTTCCCGAATCGACGCACTTTTATTGGGCAATACAAAGGAAGAAGCAGATGCGAGGGCAGTAGTAAGGAGCGTAGTCGCCACGCTGAGTCGAGTAGAGTCTACTTTTCGAACGAGGATATATGAAGAGGCCTTCGGGGGCCCTGTAGAGGTGCTGGGGGACCCGCGTTGGGCTCTTGATGGGAGCAGTCATAGGGGCGGCATTGTGGGTGTCACCTTAGAGAGCTCTTTAGGGCCTCATGAGTGGGGGTGGCGGGGAGATGCCGCAAGTGAGGCGTTGAGAGCCTTGGATAAGGCTCACGAGACGCTTTGTGAGCAATTGCAGCAGCTCAGGAGGGCAGAGGGCCTTAAATGTAAGGAGCAAAAACTTGACACATTTGCAAGCATGACGAAAGAACTTGCATCGTCATTGGAGGCGATTGGGAAGGCTGTGGGGGGTCTGCAGCAGCAGCAACTTACTGCTGCAGTGCAGCAGCAACAGCATGCAGTTACAGCAGCTGCCCACTTGAGGCGACAGCAGTCGCTAATGCAGGCGTTGCACCAGACGAACAAGTGGCTCGAAGACGTAAAAATGATCTTTGAAAAAAAATCGGAAAGCAGTGCAGTTAGTAAACACTAAGATCAAGAGATCCACGACTGACATGTACGTAAATATGCACGTTAAGTGCAAATACATATATATATATATATACATATATCTGCATCTTCCATGTAATATGTAGATCACGTGCAGATATATGTATAAATGCGTATAAATACATGTAAGTTTGTGCGTGTATTTATGGGTAGATCTGATGCGCAACTCTGTCTAGGAGTGTATATGTGTGAAAGTAAAAATATATCTATGTAGGTACACACATATATTTGTGTACGTGGATGCGCAAACGCATGCATCTACTTTCATGTAGAGTCCTGCACACACCTACACACAAAACCCAGCAGCCAGTAACGCAGCTGTGCAAGCAAGCAGATGGAAGGAAGCAAAAAGCAGAGCATCCGCGTGTGCGCATGCATCCAAGCGTGCAGTCTGCGTGTAGGGTTCGTGATCCACATATTCATTTTTCCTGGTGCAGTTTTCTTTGTCTCAACTTGGCCGCGCCTTTTGCGGGCGCCTCTATTTCTAGTAAAGCAAAACGCATGCCTGTATTTGCTGTTCCGCTGCTTGTGCCACGTAGCGCATTCCTGCTAGCCGCTATATAGTTGAGCACTCATTTGTTCGGAGGGCAGCTTTACGTGTTTAAGAAGAAGTATTCGCTTGCAAATATGTATATATATTGTATATTATAGAATTGGCGCGCTTATAGATATATATTGTATAAATCTACAAGCACGCCACTTCTGTCTGCTTGTAGATACATATTTATACAAGCACACCAAGTGAGTTCCTATTTGGAGAACAGCTTCACGCATATGCGGAGTATATATATATATATATATATATATATATATACAAGCGCATTAACATACATAAATTCAAATTGTGTGTATGTGTGTGTAAACGCATATATTATCCGAATCTGATCACTACGTGGATGCATGTGCACGCTGTGTGCAAGGACATCATGCGCATAATACTCTGTCTTTTGTAAGAATATTTGTATAGTGCATACTTTTGTGCATAGAATAAGGTTGGAGTTTAGGAATTGTATATATTTCTCCTATGTGCAATACGCGCACATGTACTTGGCGTGTACGTTAATTATAGTACTTGCGTGAATGTACAGAAGCATTTGCATAGTTTCGTCATAGCAGGCCAGAGCGGTGGCGCTGCCATGAGCCCCTGTTACACTTAACAGAAGTATCAGCAGGAACTACAGTGACTACTGATCCTGTTTCTGCTACTGCTGCTTTTGCGCATATTCCTGTTGCTGCTGACAGCAGTTATACAGTTGCTGCTGCTGCTGCGACTCGATCTGCACCTACATTCTTTGCCGGAAGCGCGGGGGCTCGCGGCGAAAGGCTCTACTACAATAGCGAGTTGGTGGGGAGGAACGCAATGAAACAACAGATCGCTGAATTAGTCAGGCGACACATGACGAGAAACGTAAAGAAACAATGACACGAAGTGGGGCTGTGGACAGGTCCCAATTGGGGAAGCACACACACAAATGAGCTCGTCAACAGTTGGGCCCCTTACTCGTCATTTTGTAACTTCAATATTGCAAGTGTTTATGGGCAATATGAGATGCAAAAATGCGCAGGCAATGGGCTGAAGCGGCGGCGGCGGTTCGGCCAAACACAGCTGCGCACTATCCTAAACGGCAGCAGGTTATTGTCTAGCTCGATTAACAGTTGCGAATGAGTCCTTTTAAGAAACCACATGAACAGGTTTTCGCCACTGCATTGCCTCGGCGTCATGGTGGGAGGGCGAATGAGCTCCTGCACACCCGAAGAAGTCACGAGCCGCCTTTGAAAAATCAATTTAGTAGCAAATTCCATAACATTTGTTTGCCTGCGTGTTCAGACAGTGTTGGTAGACAGTCAAACTAAGAAGGCCCATCAATGTGTGCATTGCAGCAGTACTAGCAACAGTGGTGGTATGGCAGCCGCGACAGTTCGAGCGGCAAGAGCTGTTACGCTCTTAATATGTTTCATGATGGCCATTCCAACTCAACAGCACACATACAAAAAAGGACGAAGAAACAAAGGGAAGCCCCAGAAGGAGCAGTTCACGTGCTGCTCCTACGCCTTGTGCTGGTGGCGGTAGTGCTGCTGCTGCTCCAGCTCCATTGCTGCTGGTGGAAAGCATCTCGGGAGTTTTTCCCTAAACTTCTCTTTAAAAAGGTAAAGGTGGTATTGCTATCCTTTTAAGTTGGTACCGGACTGAGTGCGGCTAAAGGAACTGCGGCATCCACTGCAGCGGCAGCGACGGCAGCGTCAAGAGGAGCAACTACATACCTGGTTGGAACAGGAGCTACGGTATAAACAAGAGCCTGTGGTCCACTGGAAACCAGCCCTGAAAAACCAGCAAGAGGAGTAGCAATATTGCGAGCTGCGCGTGCATCCGAGCTGCCCGGGCCGAAGCCTACGCTGTCGAGCTTAGGATTTACTGCTAAAGGTTACAATTTTATGCTTGCATATCAAAATGGATGAAAGTTACAGGAACAGACACCGCTTGGCTTGGGAGCAGCGACGCGCAGCGGAAGCAGCAGAGCGCGAAGCCGCAGCTGCTGCGGAAACGGCCGCAGCCGCGGCAACAGCCAGAACAGTTGCGGCTAGCACGCCGCAGAGGCAGACATCTACCCCCCAGCGTGAGATGCCGCCTTGTCCTGTTGTCGCTGCTGCGTCGACGCAGCAGTCGCTTGTAGGTGCCCTACAGCAGCAGCAACACCATGTGACGCAGCAGCAGGTGCAGCAGCACCAGCCGTCCAGCATGACAGAGGAGGAGGCCCTGAACGAAGCAGCAGCAAGAAGGCTTCAAGAAGAGCTAAATGCAGAGGACGAGATAAGACGTCCAGATGAGGCCTACAGCGAGTGTCTGCTGGGAGCCCCAGAGAACTCTTGGGGCCATGCAGGAACTTCCGGAGCTGTAGGGGGCTTTGGCGGCATCGGGGGTAGTTTGACGGACGGCTTTCGCGCTGCAGCAGTAGCAGCTCAGGGGCTGCTGCATCGCTGTGATTCAGAGGCCCCCATAGACGTCTCAGACGTTGACGAGCAGCAGCAGCAACGGAGACGCAGGGCTGCGGACTCGTCACCTTCTGCCCGCCCGTGCGGCGTCATCCCCGTCGACCCTGACCCTCTTGGTGTAGGGTATTAGGGAGCCTTAGGACAGTTTTCATCGCTGATACTCGATTCTGCTGCAACTTGTGCTCTGCTTGCTGCTCACTGTGGCGCAGCAGCTTTCGTGATTGTGGATGCCACCTTTATTTCGCTAGCTCTATACCCGCTTCTGTTGCTTTTGCATGTGCAACTATTACCACGTGGTTCGCTGCTGTTGCTGCTGTGTTGCTGCTGCTGCAGGTGGAGGTGATTTCGCCGAGATCAGCAGGACGGGACATGACGCTGCCGACACAAGAGGCAACGGAGACAGCGGCAGCAGCGGCGGCAGCAGCAGCGGCAGCGGCAGCTGCGGGGATCCAAGTGGATTCAGATGTATGACATAGCACTTGGCTATATGGTGTTGCTTGGTGCTCTGCCGCGTCAGTTCCTTTCGACCGTCTTTCTGTTGCTTTGTGTGCTGCTCTTTGCCTGTCTGTGTCTTCTCTCATCTTCTCGTTATTGTTGTTGATACTTTGTTTCGCCTGTTTCTGCTCTTTGCTGTGTTTTGTGCCCTGGAGTTTCTTTTGTGTTTAGTTCGCCTACTTACGTTCTAGCCTGCCTTCCTGTTCATTTTCGCCTGTTTGCTTCCACCTCGCACAGCGTCGTTATTTTTGCATATTCGTTTTGCCTGATTCCACACTCACATCGTGGTGATCCTGCCTGTTTGTTTTTGTCCACTCAGGAGGCCGTGCTGCAGGCGGCGATAGCCCAAAGCTTAATCGATATGTGAATGACTTGCAAAAGTGGTGTGATTACTTGCCAACTAGTTTGTTTCTCAACTTAAGGCGAGCAAACAGATAAACTGGTGGCCGAAGCTATGAAGGGATCGATAAGTTTAGCTGTAGTAAGCTAATTGAAAATCAAGTAATTGCTACATTCAAGATGGCTACTCCAGACGGGCGGATTAGAGGATTGATGGCTAGATTAGATGAATGAAGAGGCAAATAAGTAGGGCCACCGCAGGAGGCGAATATTGCGGACGAAATGTACGGTCAGATTCGTCTCTTCGCGACGTTTTCAAAAATGTCGCCTCTTTTGTCTCTGTGTGTGTAGCGTGTCTATCCTGTACACCCTCCTTCGTTTCATCATTCTATCTTATCGCTTTTTTCTTCGAATTCTCTTGTCAGCTTTTGGAAGCGCGAGGAGTCCCAAGGAATTCCGTCGTTCTGTCGTTAGGTATTTGCCTGTCACCTTAGTGCTTGCGCAGCTTCGGGCAATTAGTCATCTATTTCAATTTGATTCTCGTATACGGTCAGCAAGCAAATTGTAGGTGCGGCATGCTGTAATGCGTAGCGCATATATCTGAGCATATCCAATAGCACATAATTTAGGGAGGTTATGGGACTTTCCAAGCGGTTTATCGTGAACTGATTATCGGGCGGCCTTCAAAGTAGTGGGCGTAGTTGGCAGTGTGCTGTTACCATACCCGAGCTCCAGCACTGGATATTTTAGTGATTATCCAGGAGGCAACTAGGAGATAAGCAGCGTCGTGCCCCCCAGCTGCTGCCACATCCCAGCGGGAATCGGGAGCAAGGAAGCGTCGCATTTGTGAAATAAAACTGAGAGCAAAACTTCCGGGTAACCGAATCACTAGATAACTAAGCTCTGGGGTTCAAAGTGCAGCAAATTGGGAGGCCGAGAGATCAGTCGAGGTGGACGCCGAGTTTCTGGCATAGTTGCTGGCGTTCACACGTGAAACTGGTGAACAGGGTGTATTGCTGATCGCAAAGTAGACCTACGTATGAATGTAGGTGGGCATGTAGGAGTGTCACAAATCTACGGGTAGGAGTCACTAATTTAGTGTCAGTATGTGCATTCAGGAAGTGCTTTAACTACGTTGATCTGAGCAGGGTGAATGAGCGTCTCACTCACAATCACAGGCTACTAAGGTGTCTTCGATATGAGCAGTTCATTTCTACGCATGCCGTGGCTGTGAACATGAGAAAGCGCGTGTACATGAATTGCATGTATTATATTGTATGTGCTTACTGTTAAAATATCTGTGCATTTGGATCTGGTAGACGGCAAGTCTTCCCCCAAACTAAAGGGATGGACTGTGGCCGCTCGGCAGTGGTCTGCCTCCGCAGTATAACTTTGCCAGAAAAGAAGTGACGTTTTTGCCATTTTTTCATCTAATTTCATCATCTGAAGTGTAAGCAGGGATGAATGAGCGAATGCACGGGTGGACCATGGGATTAGGCAGTCGGCGGCAGCGCCGCCACAGCAGGTGTACGCTTTAGCTCCGAGGAAAACGCGAAATAGGAAATAAAGTTGATTTGTGTCATTTTATAGTTTATTCCATATTATTGGAGCACCGAAGATGCTTGAAATGGCACCTAGTCTCTCACTACGAAGAAGAGACTCACCGTGAGGCCTTAACCGCCCCGGGGTGCTGCACGCTATCACTGTGATGCTTCAGAGGGCCATTCATTCATGTCCTTTGAAAGGTTGTAAACAATCTTACCTTCTGATAATGATTATGTAAATGGGACCCATTAGATTAAACTGATTGAATAAGGAGGAACTAAGGACGCCTTCATGCAGCAAAGTCCCCTTTCGTGTCTATTCGAGGCAGCGACCGCTGGTCTGGCTAACGGGGTCGCGGTGGCATCGTCTGCGCGTCGATGTCTGTTGCTTTTTCGCCAAGTCAATCTTCCCGTTTAACTTAGTGCAGCTGTACAGTTTTTAATCGGCCACCGTTGCTTCTTCTTTTGCGCGTTTTCCGCGGCTTCTCATGGAACGCGGGCAGCCCGTCCCACTTGAGCGCACAGCAACAGAACGACCACCGCAGCAGCCAGCCCTAAACTTTGTTTCTTTTGCACTGAGGGCTTGTAGCTTCTACGAGGTTCCGCAACAAGGGTGCAGCGATGGCGCCTAGCGGAGCCTCCGAAGAGGCGACACCCGTTGCTGATACTTCTGCAGGAGCACCCGCAATGCCCAATGCATCGAACAACAGTGAAAGCCCGCAGCTTATGCAGTCTGTGGTGTCTGCACACCCCAGCCACGAGCCCGGCTCTACATCGAGAACTTCTAAGTACGATCGGGAGACATGCTTCATCCGACAGATGCTGGGTGCTATCGGCCGATGCTGCGGCTTGGGAAAGGGAGGTTTGTGCAGGCGCTGGCTAACTTATTTGGAGCGCCTTGATGTCAGCTGGACCTGTGCTGAAGACAGAACTGCGGCGCTTGACAAGCAGACGCTGAGCACCATGAAACATACCTACTGGCTGTCTCGTATAGTAAGCACTGCAAACCCATCACGCGTTCGGATAAATCAAGCAATTACTTTAACTTCTTACTAATTAATAACTCAGTGCTTTTTAAACGGGCAAGAGAACAAGTAAACAACATGAAGATTTGCTGTGAATAAACTCATGAAGCTGATCTCGCTTGTGCCAGAATTTGCGCCTAGGCATGCAGGTGCAATTGCGAGCTTACTTTTATAGCATGTTTGCGTATGTGTGCGTATGTTTACTTTTAAATGCACATGCGCGTAGACCAGTATATATAAAATACAAGGATGCAGATGTCTGCGAAATTAGCAGACATGCGCTGCATTAACATTTTGGCTTTTGCCAGCTCATCGGTCTAGCTATTTAGAGAAACAGGAAGAACGGCTTTTGCTACGGATGATGATGCTTGCTCGCTTCACCACTGGGTCTGCTTTCACCAGTTTTTGATATGAGTATTCTTCTGATTCCGTTGCGTTTTGTATTGCCTGCTCCTTGTTTTTCAGATCTTTTTGCGTCTTCTGTCTCTCGTATACTTTTTCGCATTTCTCGTTGCTTTCAAACAGGCAAGTGACGACTGCGGCTTACATGACGTGAAGCGCGTATGGTCAAGGCCTGAGAGTTCCTCTTTACGGCGTTGAGTTTCGTTTTCCTTAGTCCTTTGAGGAGGTCCATTTACTAGTGTTGTGTCATACGCTTGCTTACTTGTAGCTCTAGGATATAGAGCTCCTCATTGAGGCCTGGGGATCAGGCGCTTAGGGTTTTAGTTCTGCTGTTCAAGCGCATCGTACATGTTCAACGATTTTCCTGTTTATTTATTCATATGTACTACTTTATACTTTTGTCTGCCCACCATTTGCCATTATGTGTCGCTTCTAAATTATGCTACTATCTCTTTTGTATATTTGCATTAAACAATTTTTTTGTTTCTTTGTTTAGAACGGCGGCTTGCTCGGCTCCTCCGGCATAACGCCTGCATCCTTATTTGTCTCTGAAACCAAAAATGCGTTTGGTGACGTGAGAGGCTGGGAGAGAATCAAGGCCTTACCTTCACTCTTTCTTTTCGTACCGCCCACAGACTCTTGGCTGAGAGTTTTCTCATTTATAGGTGCGATCAACTAGAGGATCATGCCCTTGCTGCTTAGGGTTCACGGCTTGCAGCTATGGGTGTAATTAACTGCAGGATCCAAGCTTACCTATCCATGCTTTACTGAAACAGCCAAGTTTCTAGGGCTCCTGTCCAACTCTGAGGTTTAACACTGTCTCATCAGTTGGCGAAAATAACAGCTCAGAATTTAGGCTTAACAGTTCGTTGTGTGCATTCTGTGCTTTGCCTGTGTGCCTGTGCTGCCTCAGGTTTATCAGTATCAGCTGGTATCTTTGTGTTGGGAGGAGCTAGCGCCTTGTGTTTGGGGTTGCTGTGGCTGCTATACTTGAGTTTAGTCAGCGTGGGCCAGGTTTGGTATTCTTTTGGATGGGAGTCGCAGTTGCTGGAGACGGGATTTCTGGGAATATGGTTATCTCCCTTTTGGTCTTGTTCTCGCTTCCCCCTGAGCTGGCCTGTGCCCAAAGTGTGCGTGTGGGGGAGCCGGTGGTTGTTGCTTCGGCTCTTACTGGGAGCAGGGCTAAGCATGCTGCGAAGAGATTCGACTTGGGGAGCACTTACTGCTCTCGATTTCCATTTCGAGACTCAGCCGCTGCCCACTCCTTTTGCCTGGTACCTGCACAACCAACCACACTGGCTGCATGCAGCTGAGGCAGTGCTGTGCCTCCTCATGCACTGTGTGGTGCCTTTCTTCGCTGTAATTCCTAGCCGACCCTGTCGGCTGCTTGGAGGCTCCCTCTTGGTAATATATCAGCTCTTCGCTACTTTCTGTGGCAACGTCGCCTTCGCCCACTACCTCACCCTTGTTCCTGCCGTCATGTGCCTAGATGATTGTTTTTTATCCTGTCTTTTCTCGGTCAAGACGCTTAGCCGTATGCCCAAATTAACGACTGGGGTAGCAGGGCGCTGGTCGTTCCCACTCACTCAGGGATGGCCCCTTGATAAAGAGACTACGACAAACAAAGACAGAGAAGACAGACACAAAGACGAGGAGCGAGACACACCTCAAGCTATCGATGAAGAGGCACAAACTCTACTCGAAAAACAGCCTAGTGAGTGAAAGACCAAACAAACGAATGGCGCACAAAAAGGTGTATTACAATTGGCAGCAAACAAGCAGATTGTTACTCTCATAGCATGTCGCTCTGGTCCCTACCGCTAATGGCTGTCGTCTCCTATACCACGCGTTTCCACTTCATAGGCCTCCATTCCTGCTTGTCTGTTCTTTTGCTCCTGTGTTCAGGGGAAGGGGCTGGTGGATCTGGTGCTTCTACAGCTCGTCCGCGCTCTTGCTGCTGCTACTACTGGCCCGATGTGGTGGAGTGGCTAGAGGCTCGGCGGCTCCCACGTGGTTCTGTGGACTCCATGCAGCGGCACTTAGCCGCTCATTGGTGGCAGTCGTTGGTTGAAGGCTTGGTCGCCGCTGCAGTGCTGTGGTGCTCTTGGCTTGTGGCTACTCCTGATAACTATGCTGTGTGGGCTGTGCTTTGTCTCTTCTTTTTGGCGCTGCTGCAAGCCTCATTCTCTGCCTTCGTAACTCGTACTACGGCCTCGTTCGTGTTCACTGAGTTGGTGCTGTCGGCCGCCACGTTGGTCAGCTTTAGCAACATGTTCACCTACGGGCCCGAGGTCTGGAGTGTCTGGCTTACCTCCTGTCTTGTTACTATCCTAGCTATCTTTTCATTCTCGACGCTAAGAAATGCAGCCCTCGTCACCAAGCTGCACGTAGAGGTGCTTCTGCTCACGCTGCTCATCGTACTCTCCATACCAGTCGTGCAGAACCTCTTGTCTCCCCAACAGGCAAGCCTACTCATGCGAAGTAGCAAAAGCAAAATTGGTGCCTACGGTGTTCCTGACGTGCCATAAGCTAGTTCCTCGTGAAATTGTGTGTAGATTCAAAACATATTTGATATGCCTGCCTCTGTGCACTTATACGTGGCTGCCTCCCCATGTCGGCCCTCTGTATATGTATGTGCAAGCCTATCCGCGCCTTGTTTGCCTTCTTGCCTCCTTGTCTTCTTGTGTCTTTGTTCACTTCTTTTCTTGTTCAATTACATATTATATCCCAGCTTTTGCAGTATTTTCTGGTTGCCTACCTGGAGCTCAGTAAGCACGCTTCGCATGTCTTTGTGCACATCAGGTCACCGATGCAAGCTTCGAGCCATTTCAAGTCCTAAACACTTATGGAGCTCTGGGCAAAATACAGAAAGTAGGAATCACAAACTAATCAATGCGGAGACAGGATAAAATGAACATACAAACAGACTAACGACCAGCTTACTAGTTATCTAACGAACTAAAGCTGCAACCAGACACAGCTAGAGTTACTAGTAGCTTGTTAATCTGGGTGAGAGCATGTGGCCTCTCCGTGCAATTAAAATGCTGGCACTAATGGTCATTGCTGCTGTTTTTGCTAGTGATTCTGTTTGCCAAAGGAACGTTACGAGCTCATTGTGCAAGGAACTGACGATGAGAAATTGGTGAGTTCACCAGAATAAAGCGCCAAACTAGTGTATTAGCTATCTGCACCTTATTTGTTTCCTTCTAAGTAGTGCTTTACATGAAAAAGGCAGTCTTCTCACCTCCCTCCTTTTTCGTATAGGCCCTGTCTCCGTAGATTCCGTCTTTCACGTCTCTTCTTTCTTTTTGCTTCTTTTATTGTTTTTGTGCGTCTTTCGTGTGTAATAGGATCTTACGTTTTAGTCGTGACCTTGTGTGCCTAACATTTGTTTCCATACATAAAAATATGTGTTGGAAGAAGCACGTTTATGTGTGTGGGTACGTATGTGTACATGTTACGTATACATGCACATAAACGCGCACAAGGAAAATACATGTTTACATATTTATGCATATATCCAAATTCAAGGCATATGCAGCTATGCACCACTTTATATATATATTTTTGCGTTGCACTTGTTGTGTCTCTGGGTGCACTTGTATTTCTCTCACGCATTTGCAAGATTTAAGCTCGCTCTTCTGTCTCTCGTGTTCCTCCAGACGATAGATACTAAATGGCAGAACTACGAATTTCAGTGCAAGCCAACAAGTCTCCATAAGGCTCCTTGTTATTCGGGACCTTATCACCACCGTCTGGACTGGCTGATGGTAAGACAGGTACAGGACGAGATAAGGAGATGAAGTTAGAGACAGACATATTAACGCTGTCAGGATTAAAACAAAAACAGATGTGTAGAAGCAGTGAATTCTAAACTCGTTCAAGGAGGCCTTCACCCTGCAGAGGCGGAAGAGAAAAAGCAGCAGCAGTATGCCTGCACTGCTGCGCTGATCAGTAGAAGCCCCGTCCAAATCCGCCATATGAAAATGATGGCTATATTTCCCGCACTTTGTTTGCAGCGCCTTGTGGCACTTGAAGAGAAACAGTCAGCACTCTCCCATCATGAATGGTTTCCTAAATTCCTCTCAGCCTTACTTAAGGTAAGGCTTCAACCAAGGCTCGCTGCTGCGGCTTCCACTATTGGTGACAATGCTGCAGCTCTTTCAGTTACTTAGCGCACTATGACTCCACACGATCATCCACACCCACATCGCCGGAGATTGAAATAGCACGAGTACCGGAATCGTTGATCGGGCCGTCGTTTACTGCCTGTGTCGTGTATTTTGCTCGTCCATCAAATAGTTGTCTTGAATCTGTGTCTGTTTATTGACTTAGAATAACTCGTATGTGACGGGCCTCCTGCGCCACAATCCGTTTCGTGAGGAGCCTCCCACCCACATTCGAGTGCTGCGTGCGGAATATCACTTTACCAAGAGGAAGAACGAGGGTTTGATTTTTTCAAACGGTGAAATAATGTTGTATCTCCCAAAGCGTTCAAAATAATAATATAAAGTGCAGCATAGGCGTGTGCATTGTTACGCTTGGGCCTGCAAGTGCGCTGCTGCTTTGCTTTTCTGTTTGCCCTACTTCTCCTTCTATAAACTCTGGGTGCCACTCCACTATACAGGCCGCAGAGCAGTGTGCTTGGCATTTATCAAGAGCATTTAGGCACATATATTTAGACCGCGTAATTGACTGGGACATACGCCTTTGCACTATAGAACAATATGAACATTAAATATTCTTATATACCTAGGTGCAGGCTTTGAGCTATTTAGAATTTTCTTGTGGCGTCGTTTCTAGCGCTGAGACTTTATGCAAAGGTAAAGGCATTGCGCGTCCCTATTAATCTGTATAGGCCCCTGGTGGGAAATACGGAGAGGAAGCACTAAGGTCTTCATGGAGCCACATGAAGTCCCGGGGGCGCAGCCTCACTTGCAAAAGGTGCTGGCAGAGAGGGCGGAGCGGCAGCGGGTGGCAGAAGCGGCAGCAGCGGCGGCAGCGGCAGCGAGACGGCGGCGGGAGGAGGAAGAAGAGCTATGGCGAAGGGTCGTTGAGGCCAAGCGTGCTGCTGAGAAGCTCAAGAAACAGCAGGAGGAACAGCAGCAACGAGAAAAAGAGCGACGGGAGGTCGAGGAAAGAGGGAGACGAGAAGCAGCAGCAAAGGCCCAGGCAGCAGCGGCTGAAGCACAGAGGGCCAAAGAGGAAGCAGAGAGAAAGGCAGCAGAAGAAAAGAAAAGGAAAGAGGAAGAAGCAGAGGCAGCAAGGAAGGCACAGCAGGAAGCAGCAGCCAAGGCCGAGGCAGAGCGGCGCGCCGTAGAGCTGGAAAAACAAAAAGAAAAGGAAAGGCAACAGGAAGCGCAACGGCAGCAACAGGAAGCAGCAGAAAAACAGCGACACGTAGAAGAACTAGCCAAGGCTGGCGAACTGCAGAGGCAAAGAGAGGAGGAAAAAAGAAGGCACGAGTTAGCCGAAGAGGCCGAGCGCAGGCGGAAGCAGGAGGCGCAGCGACAAAAGGAGGAGCAGCAACGGCAGCAACAGCTGGCTGAAAGACAAGCAAAATTAGAAGAAGAACAGAAGCAAAAAATGCAAAGGATACAACAGTTACTTATCTCAATAACAAAGCAAATACCCGGGGGGGTCCCTTTACGGGAAGCCGCTAGACTCTCTAGAAAAGCACGCCACCGAGCAGCAGCAGCAATGCTGAAAAGCGAATAAGTCTCACCTGCTCCTGCATAGATATTAGTTTTCAACCCAGCCTATGCTGAGGTACAGAGGCACTAGGAATAGCAGAAATTGCAATTGTAGCGGCAAATCGCGCCAAGCCATGACAGCAGATATCACAACGGCAACACCAGCTGCTGCCGCTACCGCGGGACACTAAGGGTTCTCTGTGGCAAAACGAGAGCATACAGAGTCTGTTGAGGTACGCTTATGGCTCTGCTGCTGTTGCTACACAATAACACCCCACTGGAAACTGTGTTGACAACAACAGTGGGCTGCTGCTGCAAAGCATGCGGGGAATTCCTAGGAGCTGCGCTTGGCCCTTTGTGGCCTCCCTTCTTGCGGGCCCTCCTTCTTGCCTTTGCTAAATGAAGAAGGCGCCGGTTTAATTTGATTTAAACTTCAAGACTATTTTAAGATGTGGTGACTGCCACTTTGGCCCGGGTCACCCTCAATGCGTGGGATGGTGGAACCCGGGCTGGTGTAGTTTGCTCCTATATATCTTAGGAGCGAATTCACTGTAGTACTAGTATTGCTCGCGGTGTCCCTAATGCAGGGTATGTAGCACGAACTGTGAGACCATGCCCCTGTAGAGAAAAAGTAAAGGAATCAGTCAGCCAAAGGCATGCGTTGCTCGTTTCTTCTGTCTGTTGTCAGTTATTTTTTCGGCATTAAATTTAAAATTAGAAAACACAGAAGAACCGTCCCTGTCGTCCGCCTTCAAAAATGCTGCTGACGACCGACGCTTCATCGGGGGGCTCGTGCCTGTGCGCTCAGCCCAAATTGCAGTAGGGATGACTGGCGCCCAACAGGCAGATCCTACTGCACCTGCTACGTCTGCCACTGTTTCTGTTGTTCGTGCTGCTGCTCCCATGGCTGCACCTGATCCTTCTAACGCACTTGTTGCTTCCGACCCACTAGTTCCATCTGCTGTCGCGTTCCTCTCTGTTGCCGCTGCTATAGTTGAGTTCAGGTTGGGAAACGGCATTTCTTTTAGTTTGTGTGCGTAGACGAGTTTGGTTCTGTGTGCGAACTTGGTCTTCGTGATGAGTTCTCTGCGCCCAGTGAGGACTGGAACCTTACTTGTGTGTATTTCTCCGTCTCTTTTCTGTTTTTGTTGGAATGCAAACTGAGATAGGCTGCAGTCGGATACAGTGGCGATGGCTGTCTTTGTTGCAGAATCCACCACTCCCGCAGTGTCTCTGCAGCCCAGTTGTGCAGCGTCTGTCTCTGATTGTTTCAGCAACTGGCTTCCCGCTGTTGAGCTAAATACGCATGCAGCAGCAGCAGCAGCAGCAGCGGGCATGTGGAACCCCTGGTGCTTCATATCCTGCATTAGGCGCTTTGCTGTCTTCACGCTCTCGTCTGCTCTCAGCTGCTTATTGCTGCTGCTGCTTCTGACGCTGACGTTGCTGACTGGTAACGTTGAGGAGGCAGCGAAAGCTTCAAGTGCATACACTGCAGCTGCAGTGTCTGCAGCAGAAACTGCTGCCGCTGCATTAGGCTCCTCCTTTTGCAGCGGTGGTGCCGGCGGAGCTGTAGTAGGGGCAACAAGATCAGCAGCAGCATCAAGACGCCTCGCGATGCGAACAGTGACGCAAGGTTGTTTATGTCGTTCTGCTTTAGTCTGTTGCTTTTCCTCTGTTTCCTTAAGAGCTCGTAGGGGACCCCCAAATGCTTCCCCGGCTCCTGATTGTGCGATCTCCGCAGCAGCAGCAGAAGCTGCTGCTGCATATTGTTTTGCTTCGATTTGAGCCTTTAGCTGCCTTGCCTCTAGTCCATTAAAAGCTTTTTCCTGACAGTCGCGGATCAACGCGCACTCGGCAGGGGACAACTGCAACAAAACGAATAACCCAGGCGGATATTTGTACAAATGCATGCGCGGACTTTATGAGGTGGATGCGTCCTGGAGATGTACCAACGTTTTCCTATTTGCCTGACATTAGCTGGATATTTACGACTTCTTAGCACCTGCTGTGGAAAGAGCAGCTAGCGTTTCGAGTTCTGCTACATCCGCCACTGCGACTGCTGCTATTGCCAACTAAAAGTGCACCCGTTGTTGTCAGTGTTACAGCCGCTTCTGCTCATCTTGCTGCCGCTTACCGCTGTGTTTCTTGGCGCTCCAGTCCTCGGGTCTATGATGCCTGTGGCCATTTCGATAGCCTTTTCATCCTCTTCCTCGAAGGACGTGTCCAAGCCAATGGCCGCCTCTCCCTAATAAATTTACGCGCAAATACGCATGCAAAAGTAAACACATGCTTCAGTGGAGGCATGAAAGCTCTGCTAAACACTTAACTGCATTCACTAGCAAGCGCACAAATGCGCACGCGCTTGCAAATGCACTTCTTTATAAAGCTGTGCTCGCATTAAAAAGCAAAAATATGAGTTCAACATCTGTATTTAACATGGAGACCGACACAGGCGTGAAAGGGATGCTTGTCTCCAAAACATGAATTGGTATGGTAGTGTGGTTTGGCTACTTGCCCTTTGTCAGACCGCAGGCACCCATCCGCCAGAATAGTCTTTTATGTGCTTGCACGTAGCCTGCTGTGTGCCCACCACTCCGATGCATATTGTTTGGTACGGCTAAGGCATGCATAGGCGTCAAATGCTTACCTGCGTAGCGTGAGAACGAATTAAAACAACGCGCCTGGTCTGCGGGTCGAAGACTTTGTGAGTCATGAAAGTCTTCTCCGCCTCCAAGTGACCAGATACGACTTCTTCTTTGCCCTGAAGTGCAAGCAAGAGCCGAACTGCCTAGACTGCAAGAAGTTGGGGTGTCCCTACAATCGCACGGGTGGAGGGCTTGGGATGAGCGAGCATGTGAGGGAATTCACAGCTGTTAAACGTGAGCAGTTGAAACTTCTGTGCGTTGCTTACAGCTGGAAATCTAGAGGACCACTTTTTGTCGCGGCATAAAAAGTCTAAGACTCGCTCTAATGAACGCAGCTGAGTCACTAAACGGCAGGCGGTGCCAATGCCCATTCCCTGAGGATATGAACTATCGATGCAGCCAGTCAATTTACCAAGTAAAATACGATCTCACCGGACACCACAGAAGGCGAACTAGCAGCTGCACGACTACAAAGTGACAATGTAGAAAGCAAATTGCAGTATAATGATTTTGGTCACTTTTTGCATGCAGCGACTTCTGACTGACCGTGCAGTCAGCGTTTCGCACGTGTGGCCTATCTATTGTTTGGACGCTTACATTAATGTGCACCTTGTTTGTGTAATCGCAGCCTCCCAACACGCACATGGCCACAAATCGTTCGTGTGTCAAACTCTTCAGAGTCCGAAGAAGTTCCTGCATAAAATATTGTGAACAATTTGGCCACGCAGCGGATAGGTCAGGGCAGAATTGGACGGCTTATAAATGAAACGATATATTGGTCAATAAGAATACAGGAATGTTCATGAAGACCATGCGGACGTGGCACATGGATAAGGATGCATACTACATACGTGGAAAAGAGACATGAACTACTGCTTATAGTGTATGCAGAAGCGCTTCAGAAGATGTTTTCGCCTGTTTCCACTTGCCTGTTGTTTGGCAGTTTTGTTGAGGTGTTTCTGCAGTTCTAATATACAACTATCGTTTTCGTCCTGAAGGAAGGGAAGGCGAATCACTTCGCATTTACCCTCTTTGTCCATCTTGAGCATCACCCTTTTGCAGCCGTAAGCCAAGAGGTCGCTGTCTTCAGAGATTGCGCTGTGCTGCGACACAGAAACACATGCTGTTTCTTTGATTGTCGCTGTTTATATTGTAATTGTTGCTGCTTAACTGCTCACCGTTCCCTCTGCCACACCGGGAAGCAAATTTTTATGGGCAAAACGAGAAACACAGAACAATATAGGGAAGCAAACTAAATATTATAAAACGCCCCAAGCATGCAAACTGCACGACTGCGTGCGGCATTCAAGAGAGGATAACAGATAATACAGGGGAAAAACGTGCGGGGAAAACGTACAATTTGATTTGTGCGAGACAAATATGCCAGCTGAGCATCTGCTTCAAAAGGAGCAACAATGCACCGGATCCCAAGCTCACGGCAAGCAGCAATTACCTTGTCCACCTGCACATGCATTCGCACGAATTTGTGTGGTTGAGCATAAACCCCATGTCCATTCACCCCATATGGAGCACAAACATTTGCCCATGGTGGCACAGCACGCCTTTATACTAGCACATACAGCCCAGCGTCCAACGCAGCTTCTACAGCTGTGCACACGTCCCAATCTGGCGCACATGCACCTGCAGCTCCGCATGCATCTCATGTACATCGCAAGGTTGCGCAGTCGCACATGATCTACGAAAAGTAGCCTAACAAGCTACAAGGACCACGCAATTTCGAGAAGATGCGCCACCACTGCGACTTTCATGTCCTTTGAGTTGTGCCAGCGTCGGGTAAATACTGACAGCTCCTTAAGAACACGCATGAAGACTAATGATTTGGGTTGTGATGAACGCGTACTTGCCGATATGCATGTATTTAAATTAACCCTTTTTGAACAGACATTTAATATGTCTTTGCAATTGCTCTGCAGTCGGCATGGAATGAAAAGAAAGTACATGACTTGGAGACGACTCACCATAGCCGGCGTGATTGAAATACTCTGCGAACACTTCGACATCAGCTCCTGAAACAAAGCGAAATATGAAACGGGAAAGATGCGGAAAAGGAGCCGACTAGACAGACCAGGGGGCTGAGCGAGAGACTCAAGAGCACCCATGTGTTTACCGCGCATGTTGAAAGCTATTCTTAATAGTTAGCGCACACAAGAATCGAGACGAGCGCAAAAGGAGAGCAAAGAAGCAAAGCGGCATTGCGGAGCACCAGTTGACACTGCCAAAAACGGGAAGGGCAACAATGAGAGATAGGAAGAGATTTATGAAGCAGAGATACATTTTGCGTATACCCAAAGTCAAAAAATGATTAGGAAAGTACAGAGAGGAAAAGGCGGCAACAATGAGATGACAAGGTAGATATGCG